CAAAACTATGCAATAGCAAATATATACTTATTTTTTAGGATGGTAATTACAATAATAATGATAATAAACTTCTGTTAGATATGGTAACAATGAAGTAGAATAAACATAAGTATTCTTATCATGCTAAGCCATTCTTTTCCAATAATAATTTTTCTATCTGTCTTTATGATAGATATTTAAGTCCTCAATAATCAAACTATAATTAATATCAGATGGGTTTTTGTGGAGATTGTGGTAATTTCAATCGTTAAGATCATGAGTCAGTTGAAGCTAGACCACCATGGAAAACCTGGAAGCACTGGACAGCCGTTTCGTCCTATTGTGGGACTCCTGAGCAGTGCGCATCCACGACCTCGCCCTCTGCGAGATTCGAACCCAGGACCTACTGGTTTCGCGCCCGAGCACTTAACCACTAGACCACTGAGCCGGCATCCAACGGTGTTAGTGTCTAACTTCAACTAGTCCACGAAATTGAGCGACACATTCACCATTGTCTTCAGTGAGTTACTACCTCACAACAGACCTAGTTTCCTTGTTTTAGAAATTTTTTGTATACCTTTGTTTTTTCTATCGCATTGTTACTATATCTAACAGAAGTTTATTATCATTATTATTGTAATTATCATCCTAAAAAAATAAGTATATATTTGCAGTTGCATACCTATGAAAATGAATTTGCCGTAAAGAGAACTCTTTGGTGAACCAATCTTTCTTATTTAATGTTTTAATGAATGTGTTCTCTTTCTGGTTGTTTGATTTTCTTCTTTATTCTGTATTTTTGTAAATGACTTGAAATTCTAGTCATTCCAATCACTAATTGAATGTAGTTCGTTGCTTTTCTTCTCACTTTTCTAGCAGTTAATTATACTACTTCATAAGTGTAACATAATAACTATAATTTTAAAAGGACTGTTTATTGATTAAAGGGTTTGATTATTTTTCTCTTCTTGGATTTTATCTATTTTCTGCATATGTGTATGTGTGCGATATTTCTGTTATGTCTGCTAACTTCAATATAAAGTCATGAATACTCATTGTTGAAGTGTTATAAATGCAAACAAATTAAGTATTAAATTCTTTTCAGCTTTCAATCATATCAATACATGATGAGAAGCCATCTTTGAATATTGATTTTCTGACAAATGTCTAATTCTTCTATCGAATAGAAATAATTGTAATAGGTTTGTTCGAAATGATAATGTCTATTGGTCATCATATGAAATGCTAAATTATACATTGACCCTATATTGATGAATTCAAACCGTCGATTCAAAGGACTCTCGGTTAAGTACTAATAGAACCATGAAAAATCCAAAACCAAAATATTAATAGTAATAAGAAGTTAATTAAAATCAATATAGTTTAAAAACTTAAAAATGAATTCTGTGAAGCAAGTATGATAATAAAATTGATGGTTTTTTACAGGATGAAACGGAATAAATATATGTATTCCATAATGATCGACTATGAACCATTATTTAAGTTGGAATTATATATATATATATATATATATATATATATATATATATATATATATATATATATATCGCCGACAAATCGTTTCAGTTACGTTAAAGGATTCCCGTAAGATTTCATCAATGATATTTTAAGTCCAGGAAAAGGACACCCACCGAGTGTATCATTCATTTAAATTACCGATAGCATTTTCAACTAATGTATATTCATCAAATGTACAAAAGTAGTTGGCCTGAATATACGACTTCCTAGAGCTTGTTTAATTTTGTAGTTTACAATGACTGAAATTGAGAACCAGGAAACATTGAAGTGCTGTTTCATCCTAGCTTGAGAATTTTTATACCAGTATGTATCTACAATTTCATCATAAAGCGAATCCAGTACCCTCAGGTCTCACATGCTCCACTTCTAGACCACTGACACACATCTAATGATGTGTATTTCTAATCTCGACCAATTCTCAATAATGTCTAACCATTAACCAACGCAAGTGGTTGGTAGCTGCCCCATGCCAGATATTGTTGGGATATATTGGTCACGGGTTTTCATTAGAACTCCCAGAAAACCCTCTTTAAAAAAGAGCCCTAGTTGGCCCATGATTATTATTAGTATAGGGAATTTGTGAAGACTGTGAAATTTTAAAGTACATATCATACGCCAACGTTAATCAGTAGATTCTTATATTTAGACAAAACATCTGTCCACTGCCTTCTAGTTTTCAACTGTTGTTCAACTGAGTTCGTGCAATTAAATATACATTTGACCTGAGATCAAACATATTTATATTACCCGTACCAGTTCAGGCGAACTATATTTAGTGTTTGATTTTACAGTAACTGTATTTTCCGCCATACGTCATATAATTGTGTGTAAAAGTTAATACATAAATGATTGTATTTTGTTATATTGACGGTTTGATTTGGGGACTTATTATTTGGGAGTAAATACATCTTCATTGCACTAGCTTTTCGTGTCCCTACTCTGTATCACATTAACTAAAATAGTTCCCAATTGTCAAATATAAGCAGTAAGACTGTGGACCATACAGAGTCAAAATGTATATAACAGCAACGACACATGCGGATATTAAAAGAGGTAACTGCCCAGATATAACAGTGAAAACTCATCTAGATATAACAAAATAAAAAAATGAATTTAATCTTCGACTAACCTTCTAAAACAATATTTACAGATATCTAAAGCTGGTTAACCAACCATTGAATACTAAAAAGAAAACTAGAAATTTATTTCTCACTATATAGGATTCATCAATAGTATATACATAACTTCGTCTAGGATTTAACCTATTACGTTTATATTTCTTGGCTATTATTCAAACCACTGAATAGGAATCCAATGATTCTCAATGTCAATCTTAATCACTTCAAGATATTTTATGATTATCATCACCGCATTAGGCTGAAGAAAAAAACGGCCTTATTCTGTACTTTGTACTGTTAAGCTTTGAATAACAACAAAATAATTAATTGCATATATTCTATGAAAATAATACAGTTCGAAATTTAATTACATTTTTCCCCCTTATTTTATCTATTACCACTATGATTTATGTATGTAAATAATACAGAATAGATTTTTCCGTAGATAAGAATAAAAAAATATTTTGATAAAAGTTTAATATAGACATAAGATTAGAACAGTCATAGTGAATTTTCAGCTAAGTTTTAACCTATTAGAAAATAACTTTTAAAAATGGAAAATTTTGTTGAAAAGAACGTAATAATATTACAGTGTTCATTGATTATACGTTAATAATACATTTCATAAATTCTTCTTAAGGTTACTCTACCCTTACTCTTAAACGGATTCAAATGGATTTTTAAGAGTCCTTTGACACTATTCTTAGTCAGGCTTAGACCTTTAAGGTAATGGATGTTGATTCAGGGTCAGTATTTTCCTTATCAACTGACATCAGTGATAATGCGATAATGCTCTGTAGCTATATGGATGAATGAATTTTGAGTAATAAAGTCAAAAAGGACTATCTGAATACTCGGTCCATAAAGTATAGTGCTACCAGCTTAAAGATTGTCTCAGGAATAGACATTTAGGGTTTACGCTTCTACAGTGATATTTGAATTTTGCGTAAACAATTAAAAGTGTTGTTCTGAATTCTGATTGGTTATTCCTTACATTAAACTCCTGACAATATAATAAGGGGTTTTGTGGAGATTGTAATAATTTCAATAGTTGAATTCATGAGTCAATTGAAGCTAGACCACCATGGAAAACCTGGAAGAACTGGATGACCGTTTCATCCCATTGTGAAACTCATTAGCAGTGCACATCCACGACCCCTCCTCGTAGGATTCCAACCCAGGACTTATAAGTTTCTTGCGCGAGCGCTTAACCACAACACCACTGAGCCGGCATCAAATGCTTCCACATTTTCCATGGTAGTCTACCTTTAATTGACTCATGATCTTACCAATATTTCTTTTATTGTTTCAATATTTAGACTTTTACTCATCTTAAAAAAATATTTCAACTTAAACTTTAAAAGTGAACAATGTTTTGTACATATTTTCCCTCAAAACTCACTTGCTATTATGGACAGATACTTAAAATGTTAGTGAATTAATCAATGAATAATAATATAATTGAAGTGTGAATTCAATTAATTTTATTCTTTTATACAGTGAAAGTAATTTGTCTAACTGAATAAAATTAGATGTATGCAAGCAAAAACAGGGAATTGTAAAAATTCTTAATTAATTCGTACGAATAATTTCCCTAGGTAACTTAATTCGCCTTTTAGTTTTATAAATTTACTGTATCTAAATAAATGAGGAGTCATATATATATCTACATCATTCAATCATTTTATGCATCATTACATCAATATCTTTATTTCATATACATATATATAAGAAATTTCTAATACTACTGACTTATTATTTAGGCACGATTTGTTAATCTATATTATGCATAATTATTTATAATACACAAATATAACATGTGATGATAACAAGAATAACAGAAGTCTATACGAATATATTCGCCATTTATTGTACTTGTCAATCTTATTTGATATTTAGAATATTAACAATCCCTATGGTGAAAATTAAAACAACCCACATAGTTTCTTCTCAATTAAATTAATCATAATACTATTTATGGGAATATATGAAAATATTAAAGCAATCAAAACAATTTCTGAGTTAAAGATCACAATGAAATAGGTGGCCTAACCACAACATAATTGGTAAAAAGTACAAATTAATAGTAAGAAGACAAGTGTAAATGTGGTGAAATAAATAATGAAATGGCCTTTTCATTCATTCAGATTTTCAACATTGATCTAGGTAAAAATATTTCGTGATATAGTTGATCTTTTTGTATTGGTTGTTTGAAGTTTCCCATGAACGATTAGGACTGTAATTGATCATACTCTTATTGGCATATATGCATCCTCGATATTGCCATAAGTCACAAACATTATAAGCAAAAATGGATAATGGCTAGCAGTGGAATCCAGGAAAAATTTTTCGTTCTTTTTTTTAAAGATTCGTCAGCTGGATGTACTTGATCTCAGAGTTGATGTTCACTTCAGCAGTCAAACCCAATATCTTTCGCTTTAATTAGTACTTCGGATTTGTTTTTGTTTTTTTAAAGAATGTGTTTAAATAGATCAAATTTTGATAAGCAATCATCTGTTCCTCAACCTGCAGATGGAAATTACCTGAAAAAAGATGTTTTCAACAATCAAATTGATTTCATTTCCATCGATCATAAAATAGTCATGAATACTAGTACAAGTAAGTAACTATGAAACACTGATAAAAAATATAATATTATTAGATACTGACTGAATTTACCTCCTTATTACAAAATTTCCGGTCATTCAATAGACATGTAAATAATTGATAACAATTGGAGGTAATTTAATTTTCTAGCATAATGTATTCAAACATAGTAAGATATAAAAGATTGTTTATTGAATCATATGTATATGATGAACAAACTTATCCACAATCACTCGAAAAATATATTAGATAATTTAATAAACCTAATTGTTTTTCTTTTTTTGTTTAAAAAAGAGCGCACATAACAACTTCAATAACATTGGTTTTGTTTATATTCTACCGACAAATTTTACAATTTAATTATTGACTACATTGAATAACTGTATTAAATGTTAAACATATTCGAACAATTACAATTAATATGTATTTTGTAGAGTAGAGGAATTTGTCATATTAAAGAAAACCAGTAATTTTCTATATAAAGTCGAATGAGGAAATTATAGGTCTGTCGATTCAGAATTGGTTTTTTTTTTACTGAATCATTCGGTAAATCATTTTATTTTATATCTATATTGAAATATATACATACAAAAATGATATTCTATGATCTTTCGACTTCAATGGTATCTCAACTAAAATTATTCTGTGACGAATATAACGTACAAACAAAATAATTCTCCACAAAACCTCTTCGATTAATCTGTCTAAACAATAAATTAAATAAAACTCCATATTCTACGTAAAGATATCTTGATATTTGAATTAATCAGTCAGTTAAAGTTACACCATCATAGAAAACCTGGAAGCACAGGACGGCCGTTTCATCCTAGTGCGGGACCCCTCAGTAGTGCACATCCACGATCCCGTCTCGCGGGATTCGAATCCAGAATGATGATGGACGGTGGCGCAAATTCGTGGATTGGTTGAAGTTAGACCTTAGTACCGTTGGTCTAGCGATTAAGTGGTCGCGTGCGAGTCTGATAGGTCCTGGGTTCGAATTTCAAGAGGCTGGATAGTGGATGCACATTGCTGAGGAGTCTCAAGATAGGAAGAAACGGCTGTCCAGTGCTTCCAGGTTTTCCATGGTGTTCTAGGTTCAGTTGGCTCATGAATTCAACTATTAAACTTACTTAAATATCCACAAAACCCCTCTCTGATTATAAAAATATTTATCTAAGAAATATTGAATTTCTGTTTCCAGTTATTCCCATACTATTTACATATTATTCTCATCAAATATTTCGAGTGAAACTTTTGTTTATCGTCATCATTTATCATAATTCTATATTCTAAGAGTAATAATAATTATTAATCTCTATACCTTGGTATTATCACATAAAATACTTAGTTATAATCCTTTTTCCATTATTTTTTCTCTATTTTTCTTTTTCGAAAATGAATACTAAATCATTGTTAACATCATAGAAACAAAACTTCTAACTTCTTCTTTCTCCTTACTTTTCCTTCTTCTAAATAGTAAAACAAAATGAAAACAACCCAACCATAGATGTTCATACAGATACACACATATACATATATATACTAGAAGAATACAGACATATAGGAACACACAGAGATATTTTTAGTTAAGTATAATTATTTCCTCATTTTGTTCATATATACTTTAATTGTATCCGAATATTATTTAAAAAGAAGGAGAATATTTTAATTGAAACCAGTTAACGGACATTGATTATTTACTTATCGATTGATGTGTATATTTTTAGAAACTTCACATATATATACAAATGTGTGTACCTTGTTGATTGTTGTGCCAAAAATACTGAGGATTACAGTTTTTTATCGACTATACTGTAATAAAATTAAGAATGACAATGATGATGATGATGTATATGTATGTTTGTACATGTCAGGAACATCAATGGTAGTAATAATTATAATAAGAGGAAAATATAAAAAACACCTACAATCATTAACAAGTATCTGATCATCTATAAATGAAATAAATTAGCCACAAAAAAAGAAAAATTAATTTCAAAATGACTTAATAACTATCAGTGTACGTTGTGGTGTGTGCTACTGATTTCCACAGACATAAGTAGTATGTATCATCAATCGAAGGTGAAATGCCTGGAGGCAGAAGTTTAAGAAGATCAATGAAAAGAGAACGAGAAAAAAGAATGATTAGTGTGGAAACGAAAGAACAATGGAGTCTGAGATGTTTGACTGACATTTTGCAAATGAGGTATTTACTGTATGGTTCACAGATTTTACCAAGATGTTCTGTAATTCTGTATTCAAATATATTTGGTTCTTAGAACAACACATGAAAACGAACAATTGTTTTCCATTAGATCGTCATCAGGCTTTACTCTAATATACATGAATATTTATACGAAAATGTTAAACCAATCAAGACAGTTTGGGTCAATAATCACAGTGAAATAGAATAAGTTACCGCACATAATAGGTAAAAGTACAAGTTGATAATAGGAAGACAGGTGTACTGATAGTAGTAAGAATAATAAAATACGATAACAAAAGTCTTATCAATAGTTGAGCGTTGGAAATAGAAGGTCAAATGTGGGTAAATAGACTTGGAATAGTCAACACAAAACATTAAAACCACCACGTAATAAGCGTGTGAATAAACGGAGAGGTGAAAAAATTACAAACAGATGCCGGATGTGAAAATAATGTTATTGATAACATTTGATTGTCCCCGCATGTGTTCGCGTTCACTACACTGTATATTTCTGTTTACTTCGGATTGACAGACTGTTGCAAATTGTACATTCTATAGATTGCAACTAATTTGCCATTTGTGCAGAATTATTTTTATCAAATAATTAGGCTTAGTTATAAAAATATCGACTGGTTACATATCATCATCATTATCATTATTATGTGTAACATAATCTCTCCTCTTTCGTCACGTAAATCAATTATATCACAACCTGGTGAATTTTCACTATTCAGTTATCTTTATATTACTACATTTTATCGATGGTTAATAAATAGCTGGCAATGTAAATTTGCTGAATCGAAATGTCTTTAAAATACCACTTTAAGGCCTCTTTGTAGAAAAATTCCTTGAAAAATACCACAACCATTTTCAGTATGAAATTCACTTGCTATTGTTTACTTGAATATTTCCACTGATTGTCAGGTCTGTAATTGATCAGTCTCTTATTGACATATCTGCATACTGTGCGTATTGCCTCGATATTGCCTAAATTTACAAACATTATAAGCAAAGATGAATAGTGGCTATAGATAACACGATGGTGTTTGAAGCGAACAGTACTGGGTTTGAGTCCCAGAACGACCATCGACTCTGAGATGAAGGTACATCTAGCTAACGAGTCCCAGTTAGGATGAAACGTGCATCCTGGATTCCACTGCGAGCAACTCTCCATTTTCAGTATTATTACGAAAAGATCTTGTAAGGTTTAATTAAGTTAATGATGGTATGATGATCTGTGAATGAACCATATTTCAAATCCTCAAATCTGTTGATTCCTAAGGGACCTATGAAAGCTGAACTCAGTTATTATTTATGGCTGGTATTAAAACAACTTTGGTATTTTTTCTTCACCTCCAACGATAAATTTTGATAACATGACCACATGTATTAGAAAAATAGTGATTGACTAAAATATTATCGAGATATGTGCCTCCTATGTATAGGTGGACATGTTTTTTCGCCAAATATATAAAGATACATCATCTCTGGCTGTAATCACGTTCGAGCTTGAGTCTAAATTAATGATGGCGTGATTACTAGGGCTCATCCTTATTAATAGGGCAATCACCGTACATATTCTTGGCTTCAGTATGCATCATAAAAATAATACTAACCGATTACATAACTTTTAAGACTACTAATATCATTGCGAGGCAGACTTGAGGCATACAAACGAGAAAGTAGTGAAAATTATTCGTTAATACGCAGGTCCATCATCATCGATAAACAAGGAGGATCGGATGCAGATATGAAGGCAAGGATTGGCGAAGCAAGGGCAACAGTCCTGCAAATGAAGAACATCTACTGCTTAATACATGTATCTGTCAGCATCGAATTCAGAATTTTCAATTCAAACGTAAAGAGAGTTCTACTGTACGAGCTGGAACTTGGAAAACTACCACAACCATCATCAAAGAAGTATAGGTGTCTATAGACAGTTGTCTACACAAGATTCTGAATGTTCGTTGAACGAATACCATTAGAAACGGTCCACTCTAGGAGAGAACAAACCAGCTTCCAGCTGAAGAGGAAATTTGGAAAAGACGTCTGAGGTGCATAGGACATAGATTGAGAAAATCATCAAACTGCATCAAGAGACAAGCGCTAACTTGGAATCCTGAAGGGAAAGGGAAAAGAGGAAGACATTGCGCTGAAAATTTAGGGCAGACATCGAAATAATAAACAGAAATGGGAAAAACACTGGGAAAAAGAACCTTGGACAGATTTCAAAAGAGAATCCCGGTAGGCGGTCTATGCCACTCCACAAAGGTTAGCCGGCATAAGTAGGTAAGTTAATAATACGCAGGTGGGTGTAACTAAATGATTTAAACTACATTTGTTTTATTATTATTCATTAATTGTAATTTAAATGAATATTATTCATACGTATTAGTATTAAATCTTTTATGTATGAGTATTTCATCTGGTACTTTGCTATCAAGTTGTTGGTCATCTAACATTTGTTCATTATGGGCTTTGGTTATTTATTTGCATTTATCCTCAATTAATTCAGACAATCAATTTTACGACCAAAACTATCGTACAAGCTTTCGTCCGTTATATGGCATAACTTCATCTCTCTCGTCACATATACCATTTTAATACCTAGTAAGTTTTATTCACTTACTGCACTTCATGTGATCATCGTTGACGACTAGCGAATAGTTTTTAAACCAATTTCATTCAATGAAAACTTTCACTTTAATCATATCTGTAAGTAATTCTCTTTGAAAGATACTTCAAATTTCTCTAATACTTTCTGTTCTTTTTTCTTTTCTTTATTATTTCTTCAATTGCGATGTTCGAAATAGTGTTTACTGCTGTAAATCTCAGGAAGAGTCAAAAACTATTATTCGAAATTCTCGAATCCCCATATACAATCAATAACTATTCCGTGGTGAACTTCAGTCAACTTTAAGAGTCAATATATTCACCTACCATAAATCAATGCCAACTCTAGTATATTCTGCTGAAACTTTCTAAAAAAAGGAAACCTAAGGTTACTATCAATAATATAAGTGGTCTTTTAATTGCTGTACATTAAATAAAATTGCAGTTACATCATCATCATTTCATTCGTCTCAGTTTTCAAGCTTTATAAATTGAAGAAAATCAAAATATTTGATGTATGATATTTTGAATTCACTATATCTATTATTACTTAGTGATACAAAGCAGCTTTATTGTCATTTCTATCAGTATTTCATTTTAATCAGCACACCTGTATGAATGAATGTTCCTTCGAGTACTTCTACTGGATTGAACATGAAAAGGCAGGTGTTTCAAATGTTCTGATTTTTAGTATGATTTAGTCCTCAGAGCTAGATGAAATAAATTCAGAGCTTTCATTGTTGTTCTAAACAATATCATTAGGACTTACTCCGAGTAGAAACGAGCATCTCGATTATTTAATAAGTAACAACCTGTCTTGTATTAGTGAAATTGTCTTAATGTAGATCGACATAAGTATAATTTGTGAGTCTATACGAAAAATCTCAACCAGTCACATGGTCTCACGTCAATTGAACAAAATAGCTAACAAGAACAAAAGAACATGTCAAGATAATAAAACCTGTGAAGAAAATCGGTTAGAAACAAAGTCATCAGAAAGAACTGACTTGACGCTTGTAGTATAATCAAAATACTCATTTTTACTTTAATGAAGCGCTCATGATATCTATAATGACAGCTAAAGCTTCTCAATGAAACCATCCAGCTCACCTTTTCAAAGTGAAATAAAGTAACCTTAATTACAATTTACCAACCTTATTTTCGTTTAATCTAAGTTTAGTTAAAGAAAACAATTGACTTCTTTCTGATTATCAGTAGAAAATTATATACTTCGAAACTACCATGAATATATCTTAAGCATTTCTGATCATTCAGTTTAATAAACATTCAAATTATACATGATATAGTACTGGATGATATTGAATATTGATCGTTCCTTTTGTGCACCTCTTTAAAAATTTCTCAAAGTTACTTAGAGTATTTGTATATGTATTGGCAACTATAATGCATTCGAATGAAAATTTCATGGGGTATATTGGGTTAAACTTATAAATAGTAAATTGATAATTTGTATTTTATATTTACAACCGGGATACAGAAAATGTTGATATTATATAAACCCCAATAAAACAATTTACTGTTACGTAATAAGAAAAGTAACAAATATTCAATTGAAAACTATTTATATCACACAAATTGACATTATTCGGAAGTCCAGTAAAAAACATATAGACCAACCGATAACTCTTTGATATCAGTTTGGTGGAGTTCAATCCAATTAATAGTCAGAGAAAGACTTAAAGGGTGATTTAACTACAAAGATATTGATGGAGTTTTGTTCTCTGAGCTGGATGGTTTGATCGTGGAGCTTTCGTCGTTCTTCTGAACGACATCATCAGCACAAACGTCAGGTAGAAGTGAAGTGTTTGAATTTCTCCATATGTGTTTCATAGCTTGTTCTGTACACCTTGACGTTCATTGGTTCTTAGTGACCTTAAATTTGTCATTGTTTACTTCTTTGTTTTGGCTTTGTCTCCAATTGGTTTGATTTTTGTTCCTATATTTGTGCACAATTTTCCTGATTGGTTGATAAATTGGATTGATTTCAGTATGTTTGTTGATTGCTGATTGAGCTGAATGCCTGGCTTCTAAAAATTCTCCAGTGTTTTTGGAATTTCCCCTGTCCAAGATTTCCACATTTTTCCAATCGAATGAGCATCCGCAATTGTCCACGTGTATTGATATAAGTGAGGAAATATCACGGCGTTTGACTGCTAATTGATGTTCATGTAGGCGAAGGTGAAGATATTATGTAATTTGTTATTGATAACCTGGTTCATATACCTAAAAGTCTACTATTCAATCAAATTATTTTATACCATGACAACTCATTTGTTCATGATACAAACATTCATTTTTAATTCGATTAAACTTTGCAAGTTACTACTTACATAATCATAATTAATTACATGATTAATATGAATTTGAATAGTCCGTTTATTTATGGTTATCTTATAATCAAAAGAATAAACAATTATTGAGTGTTATGTGATTTTCACTAAGTCTACAACTAATATTAATCTCTCTCTCTCTCTCTCTCTCTCTCTCTCTATATATATATATATATATATATATATATATATATATACAAAGCATCTTGGCATAATATGAGTACCATATAGTGAATAGTTCATTTGCGATTTACTATCATTTGTCTTCCACATTCCTTTCTAATTTTTTATTTTGTTTTCTTCATGTTGATCTTCCTAGCATTCTGCTGAAAGATATCCCACTTTCAATCGGTGTTACATACTACTTATGTCTGTCAATATAAGTAGCATATATATATATATGAAGTAATTCAATACTCGTTCATACATTATATAACATTGATTAAATGATAAATATCGCAACTTTTAAAAACAATGACATTTCTCATGTAATGTACACTTACTGCTGTTGTGGTCGATTTAATTATTCGTTACACTCACTTGAATTCTTATCTTTATTGCTTCATTCATTACGGTTATGAACGTAACCATAGAAATTATATAAATTTATAATTAATTTTCTATCAATAAACTGTTGTGTCATTTTATTTTTCACAATGATCTAGACGTTGCATCAAAATTGTTTATTGTAACAACTGGTAATTTTTTTATTATTCTTTTCTTGAAAAAAAGAATGAAAACGTAATTATACAGTTTTTCTATTCACAACTTATCTCTAAGAGTGTTTGAAATGACAATAATAAAATGAATGGAAAAATGTAAATGATCAATATGCTGACAACAACAAAAAATACACACATACACACACAGGGGGAATGAGTAGGCAGAATATATATATATTTTTTTCAGGTGACACAGTCGTTACAATACGCTCACACACAGATCCACTCTTCCGCCTCGTTTTAGAAAAAAACAAACAGACTAACAAAACACGTTATTTTATAAATCAGAAAAAAAATTAGATTAAATTCTGTTTTTATCAACAACAACAAAATAAAGAAAAACAATAGAAACTAACAAGACATCAAAAGTAATATTTTCGTTTATAAGAACCAAATATTAAAAAAAACTTGAATGTTTCAATTCAAATAACTTTTAAGAAGAAAGAAAAAGCAACAAACGGTTACATAAGATGATATGTTATTGTTATTACTTGTAATGAAAGAGTAATTGAAATTTCCAGTGAATTTCAGTATTACACTAAAGTCTTTGTGTATTTTTATCTTAAAAAAAGAAAAAAAAGTGAACGAATAACAACAAAATATATAAAACCACTTTTAAAAAAATGCTTCATAGATATCTGTTATTAAAAGCGATAATGATTGTATAAGATTGTTGGGTTTTTTATTACTGTTTGTTTCTGTTCTCCTTGTTATGATTTAATGATATGCATGGAAGAATGTTTTTTTTTCGGCAGCCTATCCTCCATCAGGAGTAGCAAGCGTAAGTAAGTAAGTAATAGAAGAATGTTTTAGGAACAAAGTTTTCTTTTTTTTTAAAAAAAAGTGAAAAAAGAATTTCGTCATAGTTTTAATTTTGGAGAAAATTAAAGGTCTCGTAGAGAAAATATAAAACATAATTTACTTTGTAAGAGAAAAAAAATACATACGGAAATATTTTACTTATTCTTTTTAATATTAGGAAAAAACATGTAAGTTAACTGGCCTGGGAAATATCAAGGTTTTTCAAGTAAACCAGTGTTAAATAATAATAGTAATAACTATGAATAATGAGTATAAACAGGTGTACATATTTTTGATAAAGGGGGAGATACACACACATACACACATCGAATCTTCACACGTGTACGCGCAGTCATTTAGACATACTCACATACACGTAGTGAAAGAAACAATAACTTTTCAACTGGCATGAATGAATTTTTTGTCGAAAATGAGTGAGATTATGGTTCAATGAGAAACAAAGATGGTAGTATAAGAGAAGAAAACTATGTCACCTTGTTGCTTTCCCATGAGAAAGTGTTTTATAAGGAGTGGGCGAGAGTAAAATTTTACTGATGATTGATTATTGGATGTGACATTTTATTTTCTTCATAAAACATGATCATTCTCTGTAAGAATGTCACGGTCCGTATCCGATTTACTCTAAAAAATAGACACAAAAAAGTATATAATTTGATAAATAGTTATCCCAATATTGACTGAACAAAGAAAAGAAACACAATATTTGAAGAAAAACATCGGAATTTGAATAGACTTAAAGAAAATAACTTCGATTGACCAATAGCAATATTCTACTCATATTCAATGTATAACACAAAAGAAACTTCAAATGTTAATTGATCTAATTATTTAACCAATATTTATTTTATTCCGAAACCAGATGTTCGTTTGATTGTATTCGTAATGCTTGTACAAATCAGTCAGTGGGTTCAAATATTTCAGATAATTGTCTGTATGGGGTTGTGGAAATTGTTCGTTTTCTTTTAAGTCGCGAACCAATCTAAGCTAGGTAATTGCTGAAAACCTGGGAGCACTGGATGGTCGTTCTGCTCTAGTAAACAAACCTTTATGACCCCATACACAGAAATTGAACTTGAAGCTTCTCATCTCACACGGAAACTCTTAATCTCTAAAGTATTGAGCCAGTATCCAATCAAGTATAGGCCCAACTTCAGTCCGTTCATAGTATAGTACGAACATTTCCCATTGTCCTCGGTGGGTATCCTTCTTACATCCTATATGGTTTGGGGTCACTGATCACTGCTTCTCATAAGAACGTCAGAAATTTCCTCCCAGAGCTAGTCACTGGTGAACATATGATGACTGCCAGTATGAGGTTATGGGTTCGATCCCTGAATCAATGTTCACAAGTGTACACTGTTATGAAGTTGTACACTAGAACGGAATGGCCTGTCAGTGATTTCAGGTTTTCAGAGGTTGTCTAAATTTGACCAGTTCGTGGTTTTAATGGTATTTAAGAGAAAAGTTAAAAACAGCTTACGACTTGTTTATCTGTTTATTCAACTAATTTCAAACCACTTTAAAATGAGACATAACGTAACAGATAGTGTAGTGTATTATCAGCAGTTGTTTAAAGAAATAAATATAAATGACTAAATGTAAAAGAATTAGGTTTCGAATGTGTTTATTAATTTAGATATGCATTTAACTTTCATCAGTGATATAATTCACTGACTTCTACAAGATAATTTTACTAAAATAATTGTACCACGTAAGAATAATAAACAATAATGTTGAGATGTTTTGAATATTGAAACATATTCTATCATCATCTAAGTAATACAAATAAGAATTTGCCACGACAAATTTAATGGATATGACGATATGTTATTATAAAAAATTGATATCTTATAAGTTTGATCCTCGGACATATGATATAGATTTTACAGTCACTTACCAGACCCTCTAGGAATCTCCTAAGTTTGAACTCCGTACAAGTGAAAGAAGGTGGGAAGTATGAAAAATGGATTACTTTCAAGGTCTTGATGTAAATATAAGCAAATATATTTAGAAGTCTATATTTGATCTTTATATTTTGAAAATTTCTAAAAATCTGTTAAAACTAATAACAAAATTGCTTGTTAACCAATCAGGATATAAGACACAATCTGTCGTTTTCTAGAATTCTCTATGATGTTTATATTGAACACCAATCGGACACGAAATTCACAGAATTATTCAGCAACTGAAGATTTTTCAATGAACGTTGAAAAACTCCCAAACAGTATAGATTAAAACTTGGTAGAATATACCTATGACTCTACACACATGACAGAACCTGGAACTTATAAGTATTTCGACGAGAGTCTATTGATTGATTATTTCAAAGATTCAAACAATTGGATTCTGTTTTAGGCCTAGTGTTGGACAAAAGAGTTGACCAATTCAGAGGGTGATCCGGCGAGAAATGGTAGGTAAACTGTAATTAGGAGCTCCAGGTCTTTTTTCGGAAACTTAGCTTGTGTTAATTCGTGATCTAAACTAAATCCAAAATAATATAGACCAAAAAACGGAATGACTCAAATCTGTAGAGGGTTTTTCATAGAATAACTCCCACACAAAACCAACCTATATCGAATATCGTTCGTTTTTATTCTGAACTCATTAAATCTATGTTTGTTCATTCTCTCTCTCCCTATTGTTATTTATAAACATCCTGGTTGAATAGTTGAGTAGTTAATAAGAGTAACTTCATTCAGTTAGTTGTCAGTAAACATGTTCACATTTATTTTTAAACTTGTAACCTGAAAATAACCTCATTTTACCTTACTATTTATATTAGATTGTTTTTAAGTTTTTATTTATTAGTAATATAAAAGTTCTATTTATTTATTTATCTTTTAAACATACAGCACACCAACATTTGATCAATAACAACTCTGAGATTAATGCTCAAACCATTTATCACAAAAATTATCTAAGAACTTTGTGATGATATACACCTTTTGAATTAGATTAGAAATTTCCAATCATCACCAGTAAAATTATCGTACTGATGTCAATTTTCTGAATACTTCTAAGCTTTCAGTAGATTTAAGGTTTAGATTGATATCATGAATGGATCAATGTTAGACCGTCATTGAATATCTAGAGGTACTACACGGTAGTTTCGTTCTAGTATGGAACTCCTCACAAGTGAGCATCAACGATCCCGCGCGAAGAGCTCGAACCCAGGACCTTTGGTTTCTCGGGCAAACGCTCAACCTGTAGACTATTGAGCCACCATCCAACGATGCTAGTGTCTAACTTCCACTAATCCATAGTCTTGCACAACCACTCATCCATTACTTGAGGTAGATAACTGATATGATATTGTCTGTTCTTAACTTACTATCTGCATTACCAACGCCTTCAACTGATTTAGTTCATCGACTGGTTGAAGTTAAACATTAATATCATTAGATGCCGGGGCTCAGTGGTCCAGAGGTTAAACGTTCGTGCGCGACACCGAATGTCCTAGGTTTGAGTCTCGTTTACGGGATCGTTTATGCCCACTGCTGAGGACTCCCATACTAGGACGAAACTTCCGTACAGTGCATCCAGGTACTCAATGGTGGTCTAACATTGATCCACGCATGATATCAATCTAAACTCATAAATCTCCACAACCCTTAACAGATTTAAAGTTACTTCATCTTTAAATCCAAGAAAATTTAATCAGGACAAATAAAAATTAACAAACAGAATTACTATTTGTTGATTAAGTACTTATGTAAGAGACCATTTGTGACACAAATAAATCATTAGCAAAGTTTGTTATTATGAAAAACTATGAAGTTAGTCAAGTTGGAATCCAATGAACAATATGAATTTTTTCAAAATCTTTGATATGTACTATGAAACAAAGCTTTGTATTGAATACATATACCTTAGAAACTATGAAATATTCAAAATTAATAGTATTCTGATTATAGCCCTTTCTCATGACTTCTCATCATGGGTAAAAATAAAAGACAGATATATATATTCAGTAAAAAATGGCTAAATCTGTCCTAAAATGGAACCGTAACAAAAACAACACAAATTTATCCTTTTTTTCTCTGTTATTTCCTCATTTCTATTGCTTTTACATTAATGTATACTCATAGACAATTAAATATTTGTCAGTCATGTTAATTAACTTGAAAAAAACAAACTAAAACCAATCAATCAACAAAAATGAACACTAATGATATGAGGCAATCTTGATTGATTGATTGACTGATTGATTTATTAAAAATATATAATTAGTGTTTTGTTTACTCCATAAGTCGGATATTTTAATGGTCACTAATAATTTAAAATTTATAATAATAATAATAAAATGAGTTACTTAGGTAGATACATGCTGTTTGTATGCATATACTTTATATAAATAGATTTTATACCCCTCTTTATAATTGAAAGAGAATTTTTTTAAAAAAAAGGGGACCATAAACCACCACTCATTCGTCTTATATTTAATCAGTTTTTCTTTTTGGTTTTATATCTCATTTTTCGATCTACTCACACTATTTACATATTTATTCAGTTAGATTATTTTAACAATTTTATGTTTTAATTTCACCTTAATGTTAATCAGATCAAGGATTAAAGACAAAAAGAATAAGAGTCAATGGATTAAATGACACTATTTAAAATTGTACATTGAATGGTTTATTTTCTATCTTTGTATTTGTGTATCCATATTAGATATATAAAATAGTTCCTTTCTTTTAAACTATTCAAACTGATAAAAATGAAATCGAGAAAGATATATATATATATATATATAAATGTTAAGATTTAAAACTGTATTGTTTAAATGTATTGCATTTCTTTTAATGCTTTTTATCTTTAAATTATAAATAAAATAGATTTTAATTTTATGCAAAATATAATGAAACCAATATTATCTCATAAGAAGAGAATGAGAGAAAGAAAGAGAGAGAAAGACATAAAGACAGAGGTTAATTTAAATTCAAAATAAATCGAATTCTTACTTTAAATTGAGAAAAGAAAATGTGACTTTAATAGATGATGGTATAAACATAGGTTTCAGTTAATTTAAGATACATTTCAATGGTTAAGATCATGAGTCAGTTGAAGCTAGACCACCATGGAAAACCTGGAAGCACTGGACAGCCATTTCGTCCTATTATGGGACTCCTCAACGGTGCGCATCTCCCATTGCGAGATTCGAATCCAGGATCTACTGGTTTCGCGCGCGAGCAATTAAACAATAGACCACTGAGCCGACATCCAACGGTGTTAGTGTCTAATTTCAACTAATCCACGAAATTGAGCGACACATCCATCATTGTCTTCAGTGGGTTACTATCCCACAACAGACCTAGTTGAACTCCACTGGTCACTACTTCTCACTAGAACTCCAGGATATACTACTTGAAGCCAGTCACTAGTGAGCATATATTGATTAATATCAGATAGGTTTCGCGGATATTATAGTAATTTCAATGGTTAAGATCATGAGTCAGTTGAAGCTAGACCACCATGGGAAACCAGTAGGTCCTGGGTTCGAGTCTCGCAGTGGGCGAGGTCGTGGATGCGCACTGCTGAGAAGTCCCACAATAAAACGAAACGGCCGTCCAGTGCTTCCAGGTTTCCCATGGTGGTCTAGCTCCAATTGACTCATGATCTTAACCATTGAAATTATTATAATATCCATAAAACCCATCTGATATTAAATTTAAGATATAGTTTAAATTCATCCTTTCTATTGTAAATAACAATAAATCTTTAACTTTATATTATGACTAAAACGTTTAATAGATTCTAGTTAAAAGTGGATTTGTATATTGATGAAACTACTAGGTATTAATAGTCTAACTTAGATTTTTTTAAATACACATTAACTAGAGTATTCATGTTAACTGATACCGGTTATTGTATGATTTACGATGTAACAATTGTAACATCTATAATAAGATTTAATAAAGATGCAACGATTAAATTTATTGTAATAAAGAAAAACCTTTTCTATTTTTGGTGCATTAATTTCTACCCATTAAAACTTTGAAAGATAAATTTAATGTGAAGATGATTTCTATCGTAAACTAATGTCAGCTGCAGAATTACCGAAAATCAGGAAGATTGTTTTATCTGAATTGGAGGGAAAGGATTGGCTTAACAACAATACAAATATATATGACCTTACATAAGATCAAACCTCGTAGTTTTAGGCTGTAAGGTAATTTAATAAACATTTTAAACCAGGACAATTAATTGTCTTGCACCTTTGATTTTTAAATTGTTCGCCAGTTTATGTTGAAAAATAACTTTGAATTGCGTCAAAATCTTATATATTTATACCCTAAAAATAATCTCACTTTGTAGATAATCGGTGGGAGATTCACTTTAGGCAATCCCTTAAATCCCATTTGTGTGAAATGATCATTTTTCAAAAATTCATTTGGTTCTAATACAATTCCAGTTGAATCAGCATAACTTGGAGGTGATTTAATTCGTGTTTTATTATAATTATCATTATTATTATTATTATTATTACTGTTATTATTATTATTCATTGTAGTGTAATATACACTTCCTCCTTTATCCATATCGCCGTCACCTTCTATTGCACAACTAGTTACTTGATTTTTCCCCGATGTACTTTGAACAAGTTTCATGTATTTATATTCTAGTCTAACAAAAGAAGTTAACACAAAATTGTATTAAAACAGAGCATATTTTTTGTTTAAATATTAATAAAAATAGCATCCCCCCTCATAATTTACGAACTATATCAGCAATTATAGATAACAGAAATAATTAGTAAGCAGGCAAACTGTATATAATCGTTGAATAGCATGTGACAGTTAATAATACGACTAAACATACTTATTTATAGTTAACAAATAAATTGTATCATTGAATTTTGATTGGGCTAACGAGTAACAAGAGTAACTAACACATGATTCGTCGCTCTCCTTCAGTTTATAGATGCCTCTTGTTAACAACTTTTAAACTCCCTAAATAACTTCCAACCGATTATTTATAATCGTTTAATATAGAAAATAAATTTCACTACGATGTCAAATCATTTTCATTAGTTGACAAGATATCAATTTATTTATAACACAAACACACCAAAACATGAAAAGAATGCAACACAAAATTAGAATTTTGATTTTACTAATTAATATGAGAGAGGAATTTCGAATAGGTAGATTCATTTTACTGTTACGAAGAATTTAACAAGAAACTAAAACAGGTTCTTTCATGGGTAACAAAGATGGTGGCTAGTAGTGAAATCCACGACGCACGTTTCGTTCTAGTTGGGACTCGTCAGATGGACGGACTTGCATACAAATAACAGACTTGTCAATTGTAGTCTTAAACACCAATGGGATGATTCAGGCACACAATAAAAAAATGAATTAGGTTCTCTTATGATTTTTGTCTTCAGACATGTATGATAAGTTCTGAAGCCAGTAAGTTGTATGATCTCTAAGATTTCGAAAAGATTCCAGTCCTGTACAGAGATAGGTGTCTTATAATATAGTGACCACCTGTCTGGTTTCTACCCAGTCCCAGTGTGAATGAATAATGTTCAACGTTGAAGCCCCTGCGACGAACATCACAAAACATATCCAGGTCACTAAAACCACTGCTTTAAGATAATAGTGCTAACGGCACGATAGTTACCTCGAACATACTGTACCTGACCAAGATACTACCTACGCTGTATCGCCATCGGATATAATCTTTGAAAAATGATATTAATCGTACACTGGGCAACAGTAAGCCTCTAGAAACAGTCTATATATGAATTATGTCAGTGGCTTTCTTATGTAGGTATACAGAACCGACGTGTCATAATACCTGTGTGGACATTTGTTTTTAACTAGTAAATCAGATTTAGAAGTGTTATATTTAAGGTTTATCAACTTCATTCTCACCCTATGTAAAGTGTGTGTTTGACTTAGGGAAGAGTCATAAACATCAACTAAAGAGATTCAGTATGTCATACATTTTTTAATGGGTCTTCAACTAAGAATAGTCCATCATAAACATTAGCTTAAATGTGAATAATATGCGTACACATATGGCCATTTAAATACATACAACTTACTTCTTATTTCGACGATGACACATGAAGATGATTAATCCTAAAATAATTAGAATTATTACAGTCAATAGAACGGCAGCTGTTTGAGATTTAGACAAAAGTGGACAACTTTCAATGAGGGTGAGATTTCTGTTCTGTGGAACACGACATTCCCTTTTATGAAATAAAACGAAAGAATGAAAGATTAGTTTTTCCTGACAGGTTAAATGTAATCCACTTTATATACTCAACGGTGTTATAAAATAGAAAACAAGTACTGTTCATTATTTTGTAATAAATTATATATCAAAAATTACTTTCTTCGTGAGTAATTCAGCAGACAGAAAGGCCACCATTTATCTTAATCATTTAAAATTTTAACTAGTAAGGTTAGCAAGTCAAGTATAGTTAATGACTGAAACATTGTACATTAGGTAATGATTTTAGTTGGCTCATGAAACTGATGAATATTATAACCTCGTGTGTTCTGAATTCCACTGCTTACTGCATACCGAATACACAAGATAAGATTATGTCGGGACAACCTATTCAGGATTGTCATTTGGCAACAGTGGTTGATGAATTACATTCTTAACTATCAACATCCATGAATTACAAAATTTTTACTAATTATTTCATATCTGTTTAACAAATTAGTGGCTATCCGGAACCATTGGTTGAGTGGATAACGTCATTGACGTTCTAAGTCAACTTAAACCAACTAGGTCTTGAATAGGATAATAACTCGCCGATAAAATCCAATGATACTTAACAGTAACTGTCTCTTTTTTTAGTTTTAAAATATCATCACATTCCCAACTTAATTTGTATATCAGATATAATTTGGAAGTCATAGATTAATGGTTGTTTATAAATCTCAATGAAAAGTGGTTGGATAAAACAAAAGACACATTTAACTAGCGACAAAAAGTAAATCATCTCAAGTATTCTAATACTACACAACTACTCATTCTCTCTATTTTTCTTGAGGCAATAATACTAAATTTAGCAATGAAGTATGCTTCAGACAATATTTAAATGAGTATTTATATTTAACGCATTATATATATATACCTGATGTACACACTACACACGGATACAGAAATTTATGATTAAATAATCAAAATGATTATTTATAATTGAACATGACTTAATTAGATATCTACACTTTGAACTATTGACGGTACGGTCATATGAATGGTACAATCCTGTTGGATGTATCATTTTTTTCGTCCAACGAATTAGCTCAAGCAATTTAGAAAATATACTATATTATCTAAATAACATTCTTTTCAGTCTAAGGCCAGTTAGTTTGTTTTGATACCCCCGATGACAGTCATTTTTGTTGTAAATCTATGTTGTTTAAAGCAGTACGTTGTCATACATACCAACTTGATTAAAAAATCTATCTAACGTCTATATTAAATAACTTAATTGGCAATTCACTAAGCTATTAGCATATACTTAGTTATTGTCTAACTGTAATAAAAATAACTTTTACTTTACTAATCCATATTTCCTTCTCTTCGAATTGTATTTTTAATGTCTAATTTTAACATTTATACTCTTACTATCACTAATACTCTAGAATTCGCTATGATAATTTCTTGTTCATGTGCTAATGGAGCGTAATAACTTGAACCAATGTACAAATGAATTAAGTTCTACGTTGTATATAACTGATTAACTGACTGAGTGGCAAAAACAGTATTTTTATAATTCTCATATTTTAATTAAACTTACCATGGAGCACGAAGATGAACCTGTCTACGACCATAACTACACTCACTAAGAATTTTTTCATAATCATTTTCTTGACACATACGACAAGCATACATTGAAGTCCATAGAAAATGATAGGTACATCCATCACAAGTACCATCTGGACACAATGGTGGTAATTCAATTTTACCAGTTATATATTCACTGAAATCTTTTACTTGATACATGAATGTTTCAAAATTTTGAGTAAATACACATCGTAATGTAATGACTGTAGTTCGTCCATGAGGACAATTGGAACTATGACTTAAAGCAAATAAAAAGGATTTGTTTTAAAAAATGTCATTACCTGACAATTCTATTTGTTATTTTTCTTTGTTTTGTAAATAATTAATTTCAACTAAGTATAGAATAATACACAGTATATACATATATGTATTGGTTTGTTATCAGCGGAATTCTATTACCTGGATACATATTTTGAGTAATCTAATAGGAATAGAATAGTATGTTGTACAGTTGAATTAACTTAAATCATAGAACAGCACTACTCTCTATCATTATTGTTATATTCTGACAATTAAAAATTCATAAGTAATTAGTTTGGGGGGAGAAAAATGCTGATTGCGACGTATAAACAGTGAAATAGAAGCACTTCTATCTAAGTAGTCCCAAATAGGACAAAATGTTAGTTATCACTAAGAAATGAATGTTTATTTCAAGATTTGTGGTATGGATATAAGTGATTGGCTTTAGCCAGAGAGTTAAAATAATTACCAGAAATTTGATACTGGACGCGTTTTGTACGATAAGAAAAGTAATATGTTGTTGTGATGCCCATCATTTGTTTAAACAAACCCCTATTATTCACTCTTTAATGAGTAATATATAGTATCCAAAGGAAATGACTGGAAAAATATCGTTATTGGCAACTGTTTAGCACTTTGTACACACTTTATTCAGTTTCTATTCAATGATATATTCAACTCAATGTTGTCTGGGAATTATTTCGATGCTTAAAAATGCATTTTAACATAAAATAACATTTCAACCGAAGGACAGTTAATAACCTTGAAACATTATAAAGTGGAAACTCTTCCAGACATTATAATCAAAGATGGTTGGTGACTAGTAGTGAAATCCAGGACGCATTTCGTCTTTTTTGGAAAGCTTCAGCTCGACTGACCTGCATTCCACAGTTGATGTTCTCTCCGAAACTCGAACCTAGTAACATTCGCTTCAAACACCATCACGTCATCCACTTAGCTACTAAGTCCTGATGGCCACTAACTTGTGTAATGAGGTGAAGTTTAAATTCATGTTTGTATTGTTTGTTTGAATCTTCTCATTGGTGTTTAAGACTGCAATTGACAAGTCTGTTATTAGTATCCGTGTCCATCTATCTAACAAGTTTCAAATAGAATGAAACGTGCGTCGTGGATTTCATTACTATCCACCATCTATCTCCGCTTATAAGGTTACCTAACTTTATTTTCATAGTAAAAACAAACGTGTTTATTATCGTATTGGTGAGTAGGTGGACGAGATAGAAAAACTCTGTCCACTTTTCATTATTCCTCATATTCTTTTAGCCAAATAAATAAAAATTTTATTGACTCACATAAAACTAAAATTTAAAAGCTAAATTTTTATTTGACAAATAATTGCTTAATTCAGATTTACAATGTTAGTAGATGGTAACAAAGAAACAAATTAATAATTTATAGATGAGTTATGTCTCTTAGGTAAGTTAGTTAAATTATTGATTTTGCAAATTCTATACGTACATTAAACTATTGATTCACATTTAGTTTCATTTCATTCATTCAAATTAATTTATTGACTAAAACATTTAAAATAATGTATAATTTGTACTTCTGGATATGATTTAATTAGTGGCTCATGAATAATTCAATCCACTTCTATAGTCTTCTTTTCTTTCTTGTATTGCGATAGCAGTCTCTTACCGTTGTATTAACCAGTCAATGCTAGTTATTAAGCAATCAAAGTAAACATTGTACCATTAGTAGTAATCAACATTTAACTCAAGTCACAACATTGATATATCAATTTCATTTTGATTCGTTTCAGTAGTTAATGAAGCCTTTGAATTAAATACTTGTTAATTAGTAAAATTAAATTCATCCTTATTCAGTACATTAAAAGATAATAATGCTTTGAATAGAATTACAAAACAACGGATCATAGATCTTGATCATTAAATAAAACATATCACAGTGTTATTCTTATGTAACATTCAAGGTTTTTTTATTAAGAGAGAAAGCATTGAAATAGTTCAATATTTAAGAAATTTAAATAAAATCCAACTTTCTTTTAAACTTACTCATCAGAAGCAAATATATAATGTAAATCGTTACCGAATTCTATAAGAAGGTAAATGAAAAATAAAACAAAAGACATCGGATAAACCATGTTTTATCGAAAGAAAAGAAATATGACAAGTTAAAAGAAGAAGAAGAGGAAAAAGAAGAAGAAGAAACTGAAGCAATTCCATCAAGTTGATTAAAACAAAATGAATATAAAAACAAAACCCCATTTAAACAGTCAATGAAATTCACAATAAATGATGAATTTATTTTCAGGAAGAAATAATAATAAAAAAAGAAGAAAAAAAGTTACCTTATAAAATATGCAAATGTAATTTAAATTGTCTGTAGGAATTCACTCTTGAGAATTAATTATGTACATAAATAACTAGTCTGTTGATTGTACTTTTACTTGTCTAAATATTACCTATAAGATCATTTAGTATTGTTCTTTTTTTCAGTGTATGTGTTTATGTATATGTATACATATATATGTGATAGAGTAGACAGGTATTGAATGAATTTTTCATTCTATGACAGTGATTAAAGTGGGTAAAACAGACAAGTTATCCGGTTAATGAAGATGTTGATTAGTTACAATGTAATATGTAGTAATAACATTCAGATACTTAATGGACATTAAATTAGTAATTAAATGAATAATTTAAAATCTTAGATATATCTAACATTCACATCATTTTATATCCTGATCTCAATAATTTAATAGGGAGTACAGGTTATATGATTCTGAAGTGTATAAAAATAATGTACAGTGATGTTGAGTTCTGTTAATGGCACGAGGCAGGTTACCATTTCCTGGTCACTCACACCAAAGAAGGGTTCATCTAGAGGCACCTGAAAAGGAAATTAAGTTAGGGATGGTTTTAGTGACTTGAGAGTGTATCCACAGTGCCCAAGTGACAACTGCTTAAGGTCGGTCACACATGACCTTCTCGTGAGTATTTTTCGTGTTAGCTCCATATTTGTTGCGTCTTCAACACCGGAGACGGATATGCGTGAGATAAGGTGAGGTGTGCATTTTTAGAGTCGACCTTTTCTAACCCCACCACCAGCATCGCTGTAATGCTGGTTGTCTGGATGAAACGTCTAACTGCTGTCACACCTCAATACAGTAAGCAGTAAGACTTCGACCTCGGATCTTGGATTTGCTGCTATCAGTCTTACAGCTCATCAAACGATCTGTGTGTCATGGTAGGACCTTAAGGAACGATTGTTTGAGTCAGTACGATATGCATGCACGACCACCACGCGATGATTAGTGATACTGATATATAATGGTTTACACCATAATAGTGTATGAACCGAGACTCAAAGTACAAACCAGTTATTCATACTGTTGTATGCTTAAAACGTGAATACAGAAGCTAACATTAATTAAACTGACTAACAAGCGTTGTAAAGAATGACACGAACAACATCTATTGTAATAGGATTATCAATTCTGGAAAGTTTTTGGAATAATTATAATTTTGATAAGAAGTTCTCTGTATAACCAATCAGATTTTAAAACAACCTGAAGAAATACGGTTAAAATTCAGTAAAATTTATGAATAGTATTAACTGGATACAGTTACGACATGCATTAGCACTTTCGTTTACATTTCATAATAAGTTCTGCATACAAATCTGATCATTTTATTATTACTCAGTTTAAAAGGGTAAATACACTTACTGTCTTCCATCCAGCCTGCTTTTGTCAAATTTTTGTTTACTTCTTGCCAAAAGTCTAGTGTCACATTACTGGGCACCATACGAATAAGGCGATCAGCTAGTCTAAAATTATCATAATAACGAAATGATTACTAATTTTAAGATAGGACAGTAAAATAAGCCATCGTCATAAAATATTGTTTGGATGTATGAATACAACAATACGTCTGACAATTATATGAATAATCATGACTCCGATAGACGTATCACAAACCGTTCCAATGTCCATCGGCTAAAATATTTCCATTAGTTAAAACAATAATTTGGTGCTCTTAGCTGACCTTTCTTAAAATTTCAAAAACGAAAGAGTTAATTTAAAACAGTAGAAAGCATAATTAATTCCCAACATAGTTTTTTAAAAATCTACCATCAAGTAGCTTTTAACTGCACACAAAATCCGCCAAATTCATTTCACTGTTGCAAATTGACTCGTATAATAACTTGGTCATTAAAAAATTCTCTCAAGATCAACATTAACTAACAAATGCTTATCAACTGCAGTCCTGTATACTAACAACGAGGAATTGGACATATTTACTAATACATTCATAACTACTAAACTAATTAGTGGCTATCTAGAACTACTGTATGGATGAGCAAAAAATTGGACGCACTGAATCCAAAACTGAGTGTGAACATCAACACTATGATATAGGTACATTTAGTTAATTAGCTCCAAGTAGGATGAAGTGCTCATTCTGTATTCCACCGCTAGTCGTATACCGAATATAAAAATATCATCGATTTTGTTAAATTTAAAGCTGAAAGAAATCTAAGGGAAATTTTCATAAAAATATAAGCAATTCTGAAAATTTAACTCATGCAGAAATTTATTAAATTATCAGGTCACCAATCATTATAGATAAAAACAATATTTAGTCACTAATTACATACCTTGTTGGTTTTGAGTATGTTTCTTTACGCCTTTGATTGGACGCCTCAAACCTCGTATGTCGACAAATTGAAGCATTCACGGTATGTTGATCCTTTGATAGAAATAAAGAGAATACAATGTTGAATTTACACTAGTAAAACTGAGGAAAATTCTTATTATACTAATAAAATGACAAACTAAAGTCATTTCATTACTTTACTACTTACAAGTAATAAGACAATTAATGTAAAAGTTTACAACTGAAAAATATCTTTATCACCTACTATGAAAAATACCTACTCCAGATAATCAATCAATACATCATATCTGCACGGTATTTATTGTAGAAAATCAGTATGTTAAGTAGTGAATTCAACAAAACATAATAATATTGAGTATAGTAGTATTATTTTAGGTATTTTTAACAAGTCCCTAAGTTCGGTTAACTGACAACTTGTTGCTTTGTTGCAATATATCCCAGTTTATTTTATATTTTCAGAGACATTACTTATGAGTGGTAGCGTAGTTACAAATTCGAACATCCTTTTTTTCAATGATTCATTCATTACATGAATACTTTTTAAAGTAAACTCCACATATCAACTTAGCCTGTTAATAGTTCGTTTATTTATTAGCATTTAGTATAGTGCAGTTTTTAGTGTACAACTCATTGATAAAATCTCAAACAATTGGACTTGAGTGGCTAGCATGTAATTAGGATTTGGTGTATAGAACTATCTAAGTAGTTGCTGTTATTGAGATTATCTAATGTTTTAGATAGGCTAAAAACCAATTCTCTTATATATCGAGTTCAAAGTCACACAGCCTAAAGCACTAAAACACTCATTCCAATATAGATTTCAAAGGACTCAACCTTCTTAAAATAACAGTTCCTGGCAATTTAATTACGATATTAAAGGCTCTATGTCACTGTATTGTTCTTGGAGATTTTAGATCAAAGAATAGGAATTAAATAATAATGTGGAAGATTTGTAGCTTAGATGGACAGCTTTGGTGAAGTTTTGTTCTCTGAGCTGAACGATTTAATCGTAAAGCCTTCACTCTTCGTACGAAACAACATTACAAGGACAAGATTTAAGAATAGGTTCGGCAAAACAAACTGTCGGTTGTATGTGAATAAATAAGAATGCTTTACTTTACCTCAGACAACGAAACTTCAAAATTAAATAGTAATTATATATATGTTGTCTTGATTACAAACTTATTGTAGAGTTTGCTATTCAATATAAATAGTCAATTGAATTTTAGCTTATCACTTAATTTTCTTGAGTGCTGTCAAAAATAAGAGGGCGATCACCACTTCCCGGTCACCCACACCAAAGAAGGGTTCATCTAGAGGCACCTGAAAAGGAAATTAAGTTAGGGATGGTTTTAGTGACTTGAGAGTGTATCCACAGTGCCCAAGTGACAACTGCTTAAGGTCGGTCACACATGACCTTCTCGTGAGTATTTTTCGTGTTAGCTCCATATTTGTTGCGTCTTCAACACCGGAGACGGATATGCGTGAGATAAGGTGAGGTGTGCATTTTTAGAGTCGACCTTTTCTAACCCCACCACCAGCATCGCTGTAATGCTGGTTGTCTGAATGAAACGCTTAACTGCTGTCACACCTCTATACAGTCAGCGGTACGACTTCGCCATTTGCTGCTATTAGTCTTACAGTTCATCAAACGACCTGTCTGTCATGGTAGGACCTTAAAGAACGATTGTTTGAGCCAGTTTAGCTCGATTGGTTCATTACGATATGCATGCCCGACCACCACGTCAAGGTGGCGTTGAAGTAACTGCTTTTATGAATTCGGTGTTAACCTTCTTGTGTTAATGAGATGTGGCTACTTGGACCTGCGCATATACGTGCCTACTTTCTAGCTGACTGACTGACTGACACTTAAATTGGTAATTATAAAGGATTTATCAAATGAAAACTATTGTGTTGAGACCGTATAATTCATTTTTACAAATAATTGGTTCACAAATTAAAATCATAAAACTATTCTCTCTTTTTTAATCTTCTAACCTAAAATAATAATAATAACAAATAAATACAAAATCACATTGAAGAACTTTGTTTCTATTGATCAGTATGATATTCTTATGTTCTCATTATTATTTTATCAGCTTATATTTTTAAAAATAGTCAGTTTCGTCGTTCAGTATCACAATACTCATTCGATATTCAAACTTATACTTGAAGGTCTTCTGATTTAATGAAAACCGTTTGTCTACCAGAGTCATGTGTAAGTTTTAATGATATCATGACAAGTGGAGTCAATCAAATTGATTTTAAAACATTTAGTTTCAATGATGTTACATAAGGATTCTGCAGCATAAAAACATTCAAAAAAATCGTTTTTCGCGAGAGGCTTCATCAGTGAATTAGTATCTTCTGTCCCTTTTTCATGAACTAAACAACTGTTAAGGTATAAGGTTGCAAACGCCCTAACAATATTTCACACCTAATTTTCAGATATTTTCGTGCTACTCAAAATTATTAAGTAGTAAAATTAGTTTATCAAATACTTTCAATATCATGAACCGACCTAAAAATATCATTAAAACCGAAGAAGCATCAAACTTTTGTTCCGTACTATTATGAGACGCTTTCATGATCCTACCAATATCAAGCTCAAGACCTTCGATCCCAATAAATACTTTCATAGCAAGTGAAACAATGACTTCCGTCCTTGAAATAACTTATTTAAAATAATAAGTCCAAAATTTCATTTCTCATAGAGATGTCTACAATTATCTAACTTGATGTATTTAATAGTTCATTTTTAAAAGTTGAAGTCCGATCTCGTTAAGTAATAAATGTGATGCCATTGTCGAGTTTTTTATATGTATATTTATACAATAGAACATATAACTGTGAATTACGGAATAACAAACAAATGTAAAAATAAATTTTAAAAATAACGATTCCTGATTACGGGACCTCCCAAATTTATTGAACAGTGTACACACCCAAAATATTCTAATATATATATATATATATATATATATATATATATAAACATTTAAAAAATGGAATGCACGTTGAACCTAAAGTGTAACAAGAAAAAAATTAAATCCTTGTTAACATTGAGTCCGAATAGGAAAACCATTAGTTTAACGCTATATTCAGGACCACACAAACATTCCATAGGTACCTCTTCCCCTCCCACTCCACCGATTTATAATATTATAAGTTAAAGTCGTATAAAAACAAGGCGGGACTTTTGGTTGTTTATCTGAAATTTTTTCAATTCAGACATTGATTCACGACTCAGCGTTAACCTCGTATAAACACATCTGTTTTACAAGGTTATCTGTTATAAACTGATTCAAGTTAACACTTCATATTAGTCGTCCCAACATTAACGATTTTATTTTATATAACAAACAATTCCTGATTTACATATTACGATTTCCAAATGATGATGTATTTTGCCTTAAATCTGGCCAATTTCATGGATTATTAATCTGGATTTATAATTGTAGAACCTGATGAGAAATTATTGAAAAGAATATTCTTCGTGTTTTTATCTGTTATGGTCTGTATAGATTAATGACAACTTGATAGACTTAGCTAAATTAAGATGTAGATAGATTCCAATCTCTAGAGAGGCATGTATCATAACAATGCTGCACTAGTGATATCCAGAAAAATATATGTTATATCCTAATGAAGAATAAATGAATGGTAGCTGCTAAGAATTGTTTATGGATTATTATTACGTATATTCTTATTGGATAATTAAGTCACTAGATTATATGCATTTTCATATTCCTTTTATCATAAGCTTTCAAATGACTTATTAACTATTATACGATTTAACATTCTTAGTTATTCTCGTTCTATTAGTTTCAGCCTCCCACACTCACAGCCACTTTTGACTTGACCTTGTATAATTGTTATTTTCTGTTTTATGGTGTGGTGCTGTCTGATTTGCTTGTATATAAACTGCGTATATTTGAAATATAGGATTTATACAGCGGAAGCTGCGACTGCGTAGGTAGCTGTTAATATACACTTGTATCTTCTGGATGATGGCTTTCGTAGTTCTCCAGGTTTCCGCCCCGTTCAGTAGAACTGTCTTGACATTTGTATTGAAAATCCTGACCTTGGTGTTGGTTGACTGTTGCTTTGAGTTCCAGATGTTCCTCAGTTGTAAATATGCTGCTCTTGCCTTGCCGATCTGCGCCTTCACATCTGCATCACATCCACCCTGTTCATCAATGATGCTGCCCAGATATGTAAAGTTTTTTACATCTTCCAAATCTTCTCCGTCAATTGTGATTGGATCGGTGCATGCTGTGTTGTATCGAAGAATCCTGCTTTTCCCTTTGAGCATGCTGAGACCTAGTGTGCTGCTACATTGTTCGTCTTCTCCTGCATTTGATGTTGCATGTGCGATGGAAGAGCCAGATTATCTGCGAAGTCTAGATCGTCCAGCTGCATCCCGGCTGTCCACTGTATCCCATGCTTCCCCTCAGGTGTTGACGTCTTTATAATCCAGTCGATCACCAGGAGAAAGAGGACAGGTGAGAGTAAACAACCTTGCCTGACACCGGTCATTATCTCGAACGAGCCTGTCAATTGTCCTCTATGCACGATTTTGCAGTTTAATCCATCATAAGAATACCGTGTGATATTGACTACCCTCTGAGGCACGTCGTAGTGTCAAAGAAGCCTCCATAGTGTTGTCCTGTCCACGCTATCAAATGCTTTCTCGTAGTCAATGAAGTTGATGTAGAGTGATGAATTCCATTCAGTTGATTGTTCCACAATGATCCGTAGTGTTCATTGTGGATGAATACTGACACTAACTCGCTAAAAAACGCTAACCAGTATGGAGAAATAAGTGCCACTAAATAAATCCTCTTAACCTACAAATCATCATCTCATAAAAAAACAGTTCATCTATGTTACGTAAACTGTAGTGTGCGATTCACGTTATAACCACATCGAAAAACTGTTAATAATACATATAACCTCATAATAAACGGTAATTGATAATCGTAACAATATTATGTATCCGCATGTGTACACTAATGATAGTTTAAGCGAATCAATTGTATACTAACAGTAAATACACAAAGAACCAGTCTATCTAGTCCAAATAGACCGTAAATAAACTTAAATTACCGTAAATCCTCGTGAATTCACTTGAAGATAATAAATTTACAGAACTAAAATTGTAAGAGTCACGGATTTACGATAAAAAGTTTACTTATTTAAGCATTCAAACCTATGTAAGTCAACCTTAAAAGTATACATAAATCAATTTCCATCATCACGTATATCAATGAAGGAACTGCTATAGAGCTAGATTACTCTCAACAATGTCTATACGGTTAACTGACCTCTTTTAAATCGATCCATTTATTTTATAAATATAAATGGGTGGGGAAAAAAATCAACATTAAGATCTAGACAATATATTATTGATTATCAATCTAGTGATTGGTCAGTAAATCAAGAAAATACTGTATTCTTCAATCAATTTACCCGTCAATCGAAATATATGTAAAATTCACTAACCCCCCTCCCACCATTCATTATAAACACACTAATACAAACAATTCAATTATCTTTTTTTTTAAAGCGAATACAAATGGTCAGTATAAAATAGAAGTTTAGGCAAAATAAGGTAAGAAAATTAAGAAATAAAACAATAGAGAAAAATAAACACTAGAAACTACCATTATAATCATTCAATAATCACCAAATTCAATTATTGATTTTGAATTATATATGAAAAAAATTCTTCATTTGATAAATACATTTTAGAATGTAAACAAAATGTGTGTTCGAATGTTTGATTATGTGATTTTTCTATTATTGATTTAAACAACTCAAAATGTGTATCAATAAACGTTTTTGTAATAAATTAAGTTATAAATTCATATGGTGTTGTTTTACATGTATCTTCCTATCGTTACTTAGGACTGCAATCGATCAGTCTTATGTTGGTATATGTGAATCCTGTGCAGATTGCCTCGATATAGCTTTAAGTCACAAGCTTTTTAAGCAAAGATGGCTAGTGGCTAGTAGTAGAATCCAAGACTCGCGTTTCGTCCTATTTTGGACTTGTCAGCTGGATATACCTGCATCTCAGAGTTGGCGTTCACTGACGAGTCCTAAGTAGGACGAAACGCGCGTCCTGGATTTCACTGCTAGCCACTATTCATCTTTGCTTAATTAAGTTATAGTCTAGAACTTTCAAATGATTGAAAAATTGTTTTTATTTGTTTTATTCTTGTAAAAATGAGCAACATAATGATTTCTTGTTACACCTAAAGGATATACCATTAAATGATAAAAGGAAATGGACAGCCAATGACTTTCAGGTTTAAGACTTAACAAGATTTTTAAGCCATTGAGCCCTATGAGGAATTAGACTCTAAACCTTTACAGCTTTCAATGAGCCTTACACTTTTGAACTATTTTGCTTGGTAAAATAAGTTATGTTAGATAATCAGTCCATGATGAGATTATTTGCATACTGGTTTATAATGAATGGATTTAGGTAACGACTAAGGAGGTTGATATCGGCAGTTTAGACTAAGCTATTGTGTAACATCTGCTGTTAGTTTACCATAGTTCACTATCATTGTCAGCTCTTCATAAATACTAACATCAAATTCGCATAAATCTACACAAGATGACCACCTAAGTAGGTAATAAGAGAACGTAATAATTTGTGTGTGAAACATAATCCATTTATTAAGTCGAAAGTGTGTTGTTTGTAAAGTCATTCCTATAACTAGGTCAAAATCAATTTGAGAAACTCAATCATATATGAAAACAGTACATCAATTAAAAATGATTCTCTTTTCTCTTATGACAAAATGGATTGAAAAGCGTCATATGATCGTGCTGAAAGCTATCACTTATGATAACAAAAATAATAGTCAAAGAAATCAAATATTTAGCTCTTAGTTAAAATTGACCATGGATCTTCAATGTGGCTCTTCAACTTCAAAAACAAATTAGAACAGTTGAGGCTATCAGGACTCAGTATCTAAGTGAATAACGTGATGGCATTTGAAACGAATATTACTGGGTTGAAGTCCTGGAGGAACATCAATTCTTGGATACAGGTACATCTAGCCAACGAGTCTCAAACAGGACGAAATGCGTGTTATGGATTCCACTACTAGCCAATATCCATCTTTACTAACAATAGTTTTTTAATACTTAGCAGATTTTATCGACTTTACAAATTATATCAGACTGTGATGGAAATTACCTTTAATTTATATCAGATTCAACAAATCAACTTGTGAAAACAAAATTATATACTGTAGCTTGTAAAATCATTATCTTATTCAATATTTACATAGAATCAGTATTATGCAAACTATTGAACTGGAAAGTATTATTGGTGATTTTCATTAATTTAAGATAAACATTGTAAATTTATTTATTCATAGAGTAGTGTAGGTTTTTTTCGAAAATATATTTTCCAGTCAGTTGTCACCATGTTAAAAGGTCTTCGAAGATCATAGATACAACATTGTTGATTAGTATCAACCATCATGAAACTAAGGTTCAAAACATTCTATCGATTGTAACCAATTACCAGTTAGCAACAAAACATGACATTATAAGTTCACTTGGGAAATTCCCTACAAAGAAATTAGATTCTTGAACAATAGAAAACTATAGTGTATACGATTATTTGGACAGTTTTGATTATTTCATTATCGCTCTATATATGGATATTTAGATGCTATTTTCATTTGATCTATAATTAACGATTTCAGATGCCATAGTAACAGTTTATTTATTAACGTTTCCTAAAGTTGCTAACAAAAACACTAGCGTAGAGTACATTACAAAATGAACACCTAACTACAGTCCAATAAACACTAACTGGTAATTTTATATTCAAGAGGCCAAAAGAATAAACAACCTGATTCAAAGATGGAAATACATGCACATACATTCAATAGAACATTCAAGAAATAACTAGAATGAAATATTGTATGATTCACACAAAATATGTATAGATTCAGTTGTCAAAAGTTATCACTAGAATACAGTACTCATATTTTCTGTATAGCTATACAATTTTGTTTAAATTCTTAACGAAAGATTTCATTCAGTTAGTTGTATACTTCTATACTGTTAAGTGTGAGATTTAATAATTCGACCGGTTATTTTGTAATATCTAGCTGTTATTTACATAAAGGATACCCGATGCATTCATAATAGTTTTTCTTTGGAGAATAATTTCTGATCACATACATAACAGTATATAACAAATACATACCAATGCCATTTTATTAAATATGGAAATTATTTATCAAATCGAAAGTAAAATTTCAAACATCAGTCTCTTCCCCAATACACAGATGGGTTTTTAAATAAAGTAATCAGTGTGAGACTTCAAAGTTTCGGTTTCGATTCGTGAAAGGCTGAGTTCCAGATCAGAATAAGTTAACTGCCCCTGGCTCTCTGGTTTTCACTGATTCGTAATACGATATCAGTCTGTCACGACAAACTACATCTAAATTAAATTAAATCTAATATTATAAACTACTAATCCAGACCATGATAATGTTAAATTAATTGATATAAAAAGTTTACTTACATAAATTGAAGAATTCTCTATACATTGGACTGTTTTACCATATGCCATACTTATAAGAAATTCATGATAGTACCCGGTTCCTGATGGAGTAAACATTTTTGGACTGGAGACATGATGAACTCTAAAGTAAATCAAAAGATAACCAGACTTAGTTATTCTTCAAATCAAAGTATTGTTCAATGTATAGCTGTGGTTACAAGTAGGTTCATTCTTAAACGATTCATATTATCAGAATGGAGTTTGTGGAGATTGTATTAATCTTTTAGAGTCAATCTAAAATAGACTACCATACTAGGACAAAACGGCCGTCCAGTGCTTCCACGTTTTCAGTGGTGATCTAATTTAAATTGATTCATTAATTCAACCATAAAATTAGTATTATCTCCACTCTGACTTCAAAATGGATTTCCAGGTGTTCTAGCGAGAAGTTGTGACTAGTGGAGTCCAACCGTGTCTGTTGTAAGGCAGCTACTCACTGGAGATAATAGTGGACGGTCGCACAAGATCGTGGATTGGTCGAAGTTAGACAGTAACACCGTTGGATGCCAGCTCAGTGGTCCAAAGGTTGTATCCGCCCGCGAAACCGAATGTCTTGGGTCTACTGAGGAGTCCCATACTAGGACGAAACAGCCGCCCAGTGCTTCCGGGTTTTCAATAGTGGTCTAGCTTAAATCGACTCATGAATTCAACTATTAAATCCATATTATGTTATTCTACGAAGAAAAAGGAAATATTCTAGTGTGATGAGACGAAAATGTTAACTCTACCATTGAAAAATTATAAACGTTTTATGCATCAAACATTGACGAATACAAAGTCCACTTCCTTTCCTACTTGAAGTGCATCGACTCAATAGAAATGTCCAAACCCCAGCGTTATTCTTTGTCAACTCCCATAAGAAAAAGATCAACTTATTAATATACTCAATATCAAAACATTCACTCAAAGAAGTTTATATGTCAACAAAAAAACTGTTTAATTCCGTCCTGATGAACAACAAAAACAATGTGGATAAACAAAAACTTTCCAAAACTGTATAAATTTTACCTGTCAATCACATCAGTTAAATTATATTGAAAACCAGACGCTGTAATTGGTTGTGTATCAGTCACACATATACTATGATTCACTGCAATTGTACCTGGTTCACATAAATGACATGCTTCTGTAACTGTATGTAAACTGGATGCATCACCAACTACAATGGAATTATTTGGACATTTTGTACAATTGATTATATTTGTTTTATTAATTTCATCATATTGTACTGAATAATATAGACCAGATGGACATGTTTTACACCTATAAAATTAATAAAACAAAATAATGAAAATAAAGGATTGTCAGGATGAATACTGTTCTGTTTTCAAGTACAATGTAACGGATAGTACATTCTGAATAAAGTGTTTAGCATACATCTCAAAAATAAAAATTAAACTTAGAAGAAATGAAGATAAAACTTGACCAAATGTTAAACTTATAAATAAACACAATTAGCAAGCAATGATTTATAAGACTCAATTCCGACAGGTGAAATTAGTGAAAATGGAAAGAGGTAGCTTATTAACATTATTTTTAACATTATCAATCAATCATAAGCAACACAGAACTTAACATTTATGTGCGTCGACTTGAGTCCCCATACCAAATCACCAAAACTAGGTAGATAGCAAACCACTGAGAACTAGGTAGCAATCGACGAATGTTTTGTCCCAGTACGAGACTCCTAGGTAGCGCTCATCCATAACTCACTGATGATCAAATCCACGGAATTCTGGCCTCTCAATGAGCTATCAACCTTCAGACTATGAAACCCCATTGATTGGTGAACATGCTCACCTTTAATCATTTCGCGATACTCTTTGGCCATCTTCGATTATTTTCGATGAGCTACTGCCTGACACCCGAAGGTGCTAGTGCACTATCGCGAATTGATTAAAGATGGAGATATTAAACCCTAGATCCTGGTTCACTGGTCTAAAGATTGGGCACTCACTGAAAGACTAGAATTTCGTGGATTCAATTACTGGTGGATCAAGAGTGAGCGCTCCCTAAGAGTCTCATAATGTGAAGAAACATATGGCGATTTCTACCTGGATGTTATTGGTTGTTTAACTAAGGTTAGTTGGCGGTGTAAATTTTGGAAATGAAGGACATCATTCAAGAAGAATGATTAATTTTACAGAATTAGTAACATAAAATAACTTCGAGGATCAAGATCTAAGGGACAGCAATGAATTAATACATTAGCATAATTGAAATAGGTCTTGAACAATAACACACAACATCTCCGATCACTGGTTAGGTTTACATCAACTAGGAAATTCCTTAATCAGTCTTCATCTCACGTAAATGTGATTTTTCGAAATACATGTTAAAACATAAACATACTAAGAAAACAAACATAATCACGAATATTTGCCAAGATTAGAACGAATAGTTCGACATAAATTGGCCACCGAGTACAGAGAAGTCATTATATGTGAAAATTATATTTGAAATAATTTCAGAGATCAAAATTTAAATAATTCCAACATTTCGTCCAGCTAACTTGTCTGGAATTCTTCAGGGTAATAATCAAAATCAAAATCATCAAAGAAGTTCAGACAAGTTAGCTGGACGAAACGTTGGAATTATTTGAATTTCAATCGCTGAGATTATTTCAAATGTAATTTTCACATATAGTGAAATTTAATCACGGTTTATAGATTTCATTGGTCACAGTTGCCATGTAGTATCTTTATAGAGGCATTGTCGCTACATGATAAGGAAACATCTACCAAGTTTATTATGGTGAAGTATCTTATCAAATAGTATTAATGTTCTTTCAATTCTGTTTCAATATGGGCTGGCCTATTTAGTTATATCTACAAATTCCAAATAATGATAGCCAGATAAAAACAATAATACAAATAATAGCCTTTGAGGCTGTAGAGCTTTCATTGTTCTTCCTCGAGTAAAAGTTAACCTGAAGTTTGTGCTGATGATGTTGTTCAGAAGAACAATGAAAGTTCCATGACCGAACCACCCGGCTCGGAAAACGAGACCATTATTATTATTATTATTATTATTATTATTATTATCACCGTTATTATTATCATAACTATACGTGATATCCTTTCTGAGAAATTTATTCAGCATCCACCCCTATCTACTATATCTGACCTAATTCATATTATTCTACATATTACGTAATTTCCGATCTTTATCCCATTATTTTCTCTCACACCCCATGTTGACCATATTTATTCTGATTATTTATCTCACAATTTCATTTCACTTATAAATTGATTCAAGTTAGTCAACCCCACCATTAACGATTTGATTTGATTTTATATAACAAACAACAATTTTCAATTCACATATTACAAGTTTAAATGATGTACGCTGCCTTAAATCTGGCCAATCTTATGGATTACTCAATCAGATTTATAATTGTAGAACTTGATGAGAAATTTTTGATTGAGATCATGAACCGATTGATGTTAGACCACCACAATTCAAAACCTGGAAGCACTGGACAGTAGTTTCGTTCCATCGTGGGACTCCTCAGCAGTGCGCATCCACGATCCCGCGAGCGGGATTCGAACCCAGGGCCTTCGGCCTCACGCGCGAACGTTTAACCAACTGGACCACTGAGCCGGCACCCAATGGTGATAGTTTCTAAATTATTGAAATTATTGAAAAGAATAATCTTCGTTTGTACAATTGTGTTTTAATATAATGGGAATTTTCCAGCGATTAAAACGAGATTTCACCAAAATCACCCAACTGAGCTACAAATCTTCCAAACAATCAAAATTCTTTGTAGTCTAGTCTTAAAACGAAGTATAAGCCGGTAACCTACTGACTTATGATTTTTAAAATGAATATCATGTTTCCGTCAGGAATATTGCTTTCAGAGATTAACCCAAAGTAAGAGGATAATCAATAAAATATACTACGAAGAATAAGGTGAATTTTCAATTTTATACAAGCAAAATGTTTACAGTGACAAATTGTCACCTTTGTTGCAGAAGAATGGGAAACTTGATGAAAACAAGGACAAACATATCTCAGTCCAATTCATGTAACAAATAACTGGAGATATGTTCAACTTACGAAATGCACAATTGTTAAAACTTCTGTGCTACAGTTTTCCCTTCTTAAAATTCTACTCGTTTAGCTGAATAATAGAACGTAAAGCAAATACTGACAAAACAACCCATGTATACAAATATGTATTTTTTTGAAAGATTGAAGACTTGATTCAAGTATATAACTCTAGTTTTTAAGTGACTCCCAAAAAAGACTAGCATTAATTGAAATGTCATTGAAAAACAGACGTAGACTTTTAGCTTCAGTATAGGACTCTTCAGGACTACACATAAAGCAATAGGCAAGTGGACGTAATGCCAATACTATGCAAATCACACAATCCAACATTCTCAACAAAAACTCTATATTAGTAGCAAACATGACCGATTTCGAGAGGTAATGACCAAAGATTTAGTGAGAAGCAGTAACTAGTTAGATACAGTCATGTCGGATGTGAATTATTTTCCCACTGATAGTATTAAGAGATGGCTGCGCAATATTGTAAATCGACTGAATTTAGACATTTAAACAACTAGATCCGAAGCATTGGTCGAAAGGTTAGGTCCTCACCACGAGATCCGAAAGTCCTGGTCATGAGTGCTCATTGATAAGGAATATCATACAAGTACAAACCAGGTATTTCGTGTTTCATGGCTTTTAATGATGACTAATTAAGAACAGTCTATGGTAAAAAACATGAATTTTCACAGTCTCTACAAGCTCCCTAGAACGCTTGATTTGTTGTTTAGCGTGAAGATTTCAGTACTAGAATGCAACTGGTTTTCACTGGTTCTAATGTCAATACATAGCAAAAACTAAAAAAAAACAACTTGAAAATTCAACAAATAACATCATCTATAAACGAGAGTTGAATTATAAATTAGATTAGACTCTAGTAAAATCGATTATTTGTGATAATTAAATGTTACCAAAATGACTCATATCTTTCAACTTAAATCACATGTAAGTAGATTCTCTTGTCTTATAAAAAGTTTTAATCAGTATCTTTACGACACCAAACAAGAAAAATAAGATTGATGATGCCTAGACAATTCAATCAAAGAAAGCATAATACTATCTATTGTTGATCTGTTAAAATGTTCATTTACACGACATATTAATTTTGTACCCTTTTTTTTCAAAGTACCTACACGTACAACAATTGATGATTTGTTGATAATGAATTTAATCTAATATGTCAAACTTAGAAATTCAGTACAATATTTCTCTCAAGTCATGAGATAGACATAATAAATTAATGCAAACATTTTTGATGTAAAACATAAGAATTGATTATTTTCTAAACTAGTACATACACATACACTCATATTACTATTATTAATGATTGTGGAATGGACTTTGATGATATACAAAACATCTCTAGTTCAGCAGTCTAAGTTTAATGTGATTATCGCAGAAATTGTACGCCTTAAATTCTGTTCCATGCATAGGCTTGGATATTCATTACTGAGATGTCTCAAATAAAAATGAAATAAAAATCCATCTAATAAACATAATTGTGGTAACCTAATAAAAAGTGATTTGAAGAAATATTATGAAATTTTTGGACTGGTATTAATACAGCTAATCTATACGACAGAAGTTATTAAAATGAGGCTTACTTCATTGCGCAACAAAACACAATAAGCAATACTACATAATATTTTCACAGTGTCTCCAGCTAATGAGTCCCAGGATAATATAAAGCGCTTTAAACTCACGGATAGCGATCATTTAAGATTCGATACACCGAGTGGCGTCTAGATCTGATAGAATGTATAATACCTCTGAATTGTTTAATTTTAACCAATTAAACAACGCAGTTGCTGGACAATCTCATCATATTACACATTGACTGAGGTGACAAAGAAATTGGGGCAGAACGGTGATAGAAATAGCATTGAACACATGCCAATTTACTAAAGTAAATATCATCATTCTTTTCTTGCTTAAAATGTATGCTTGATTCGTAAAATAAATTCAAGATAATAAATCTTAATCAAAAATTTAATCTAGCAACGGTTTTTTTCGCTTAAATTTAAAGCTTTTCCTAAAATATCTTCAAATATGTTGTCATGGTGATTATAAAATTAATAATGCTAATTTAAAACAAAACTTTAACACCAAAAAAACCAGCCAAAATACCAATAAATATTAATAACAGTGTAATTTGAATTTTATTTAATATAACAATTAGATTTATTTTAAAAGAAAGTGTCAATTACTTAAATAGAGAATGTTTTCGCAAATTTGAATGATTTTATTATGTTATTAGATCATATCTACAATAATAAATATAACTTGACTTAGTGTAATCTGTATTGTAACTGTAAAAGTAAATCTCAGCATTAATTAATTGATATTGTAATAAACTTCTTATTTAAATTGACACTCAAATTGTGATTACTTAAAAATTTATTGCTTTTTTTTAATGGTTTTCAATTAACAATATTTGTCACTCAGCCGTCAGTTGTGATAAGAGTTCCTATGATTTCAGTTGTAATAACACTTTGTTTTTCTTTTCATTATATGTAAGTATATAGTGAATTAATGAATCATAATGTAATCGTTTCTTTTCACTCTAAAGTGTCGACAGATATCATGTTAACTCGTGATTTTTTTAAAGTTTTACATGTATGTAAAGTGAGGTAGCATACTCCGCAATATTTTATTTACTACATATATATGGTACGATTTACAGCAGTGAAATAACGGTGATTAGAGTACTGATCAAAAAGCCTAGTAATTAAAGATAAATAAAATTGTAATAAAAATGTTTTTCAATAAACTGAGTTTTGAATAGGACAACTATAAAACTATCGACACATCACTAACAACATACATTCATCCAATTGGCACGTTAATAATCATTATTATTGTATCAATCTTATGTCATTCAAAAACTATAATATGAATAATCCATTTGAATGCGATCTAATGATCATTCAATAGAAAAAATAATCTGTCATTGAACTTTCTCTTTCTTTCTTTCGAAGAATAAAGAAAAACAAAGCAGATAAATAAATAAAACATCATTTAGTTTATTATTCATCTTATTTACGTACTTTCCATTGACAATTCCTTGAATACATGTTTGACATCCGATAATATTATCATTTTTCACATTGGTTACTTCAATTTGATAAATATTTACATGATCTTGTATATGAATTGGTGAGCTTGGTTTTTCAAAAATCCACTTAAATGTAACTTCACTTGCATCTTTTATATGATACCTAATTAATAATAATAATATAAATAGTAATGATAATAATAATAACAATACGAGCAAAAATGAAAACAGTGAATCGTAATACAACTGGTAACAAAAAAATATTCATGATTTATAACTAAATACTACTTGTAAGTAATACCATAACACGTTTTGATAATGCAATGAAAAAACAAAGTTTATCCAAACTATGTTGTTAAATTAACGTATTTACCTAAAAAAATAGGTATAAATAAAAATATAATTTTCAACCCTTAATGAATACACTCAAACGCATTGTTATTCATAAAGATGATTGTTATTAAGTAGTATCATCATTAAAAATTTCTACAAGTGAAATGTTATACAGCATCTATAGCATATAACTACCACATCGTCACCGGATTGAATAAAAATGATTGGTTAAAATATTAATTATGACACTAGATCTCAAATGACAAGCAAAAACATTGAATAGAAATTTACTGAATTCAATTATATAAACAAATACGATCAACCAACACACAATGATCCCATTACAAATGAACACTGTTAATAAATCAACCTATAACATGTTAACATCATTTGTGAACCTAATCGGTTTTAATATATATATATATATATATATATATATATATATATATATATATATATATATATATATATATATATATATATATATATATATATATATATATATATATATATATATATATATATATATATATATATATAATCTAACTTTTAGGAATGATAAATGTGTTCATTATTGTTTCCTTACACTCAACATATGTACTACAATGAATATTAGTAGAATAAACTATTTATTATCATCTAATGACAAGAATCACTTTTAATTAATCCTTCTTAATATAACACGACAACGATTCAGTGTCATCTACCTTAAATCTGTCCCATTTCATAAATCTCTTAGCTAAGATGTAGTATAGGAGTTCCTAGTAGTACATACTCACTATCTAGAAAATGCGGACTGAACTCGGGACTATCAGTCTCTTGCGAACGTTCAACCTCTAGACCATTCATCCTATACCCAAACATGTTAACAACTGACTTCTAGAAAGAAGCTTCTAGAGAAAAGCCGTAACTAGTAGCGTTCGGCCTTGTTGAATGTTAGACAGTTATCTATCATATGCGACGGTAAATAGTTGCATAATATCGTAAATTAAATAAAGTTATACACTAACACCGTTGAATGATGACTCAATGACCTAGAAGTTACGAGTTCTCGAAAGAGACAGAAGGTTCTGAGTTTGATTCCTCAATATACGGTTGTGAATGTATATTGTTGAAGAGTATCTTACGAGGATGAAAAGGTGTTAGGTAGTCGGAAAAATAGACCAATAATTATCATGTTAAGTCCAATGGTGTCCTTGGACCTTAAATGTACATTTCCCATTGGTCGATATTTATTTAACGTGTTATTTTCCTGTTGGCCAATATTGTACAATGTTATTTTCTACTTTGTGGTACGATGTGGTTTGTTTGCTTGGTATATAAATAGAGTATGTTTGAAATATAATGATTCATATATCCGAGGCTGTAACTTGCGTTCTGGACTCATCTGGCTGGGCTATACAGGGAAGCGAGACCAATCAGAACCCTAGGTCGTTCTACGTGTTCGCGCGTCTTTGGTCCGACCAATAATTCGCTATCCCTTAATCAGCATATTATTTTTCAGTTATAACAATTGGCGACGGGGTGAAGAAAAGATACAATCCAAAGTCATTCTCTAATTGGACGAAATCCAGTCTAATTATCCAACCAATCAGCATCCAGATTGTCGTCAGTGTCCTTCAACGACATTGGTCATTAGTCATACAGTAATTTTCATCACAGGTGCTGATTAAAAAAAAATGACTCTCCCTTCCGATCGATTACAGCTGCTCTATGAACGACATTTGGAGTTATTAGTCAAGTTCCGCACGCAGCTGCTAAGTCAGTCATGCTATGAAGATGCGACGGAAGTGGATGGATTGATATCTGAGTTACACAGTGAGCTGGAAAATGACAGCAGCCTCCATGAATCCTCAAATGGAACGGCAGTCATCCATGATGCGCCCAGTGGTCCAGAACTTTCCATTTCAGTAACATGCCCGGTAATGGACTCAAACTCCATTATCCCCAAAACAGCATGTGCAGACGGTGACTTATCCAGCTCACAAACACACTCCCCGGTTAATGGTCATAGAATTGTCGCAATAACCACCCATGAAACAGAAAAGAAATCGAGCAGCACACTGAATACAACTGCTTCAAATGGTTCTCATCAGTCTGCGACAGATGTTTTTGACAAATCTTATTATCAAGATTCTCTTTTACCAGAAAATGTGCTCAACGCATCAAATAATAACCGAGAACCTGGTACAGTTTTGTTGGACGCCGATTATCATAATGATCCACTACTTACTAAAGATTTAAACCCTGATGACTTCGAATTGGATGGCGTTTATCCTCAATATCTGATCGATTTTACTGCATTCCCTGTGCAATATGTTTTAAAGACAATCAAGTTAATTGTAATTTGGATTTATGAAGACCCAACATTATTTCGAGGGGGAGGATAGACGCGAAAAAAAATCCAGATATTAACTCCGGATCTTCTTTTTTTTTAAAAAAAAGGGGGGAGGTGTTAGGTAGTCGGAAAAATAGACCAATAATTATCATGTTAAGTCCAATGGTGTCCTTGGACCTTAAATGTACATTTCCCATTGGTCGATATTTATTTAACGTGTTATTTTCCTGTTGGCCAATATTGTACAATGTTATTTTCTACTTTGTGGTACGATGTGGTTTGTTTGCTTGGTATATAAATAGAGTATGTTTGAAATATAATGATTCATATATCCGAGGCTGTAACTTGCGTTCTGGACTCATCTGGCTGGGCTATACAGGGAAGCGAGACCAATCAGAACCCTAGGTCGTTCTACGTGTTCGCGCGTCTTTGGTCCGACCAATAATTCGCTATCCCTTAATCAGCATATTATTTTTCAATGGTGATCTAGTTAGGATAATTTCGTGATCCAAAAAAACTATACGAATTCCATAATCCCCATTAAACCTTATACTGACATGATATTGTAGTTTATGAACTTATTATTACTAAGACTTAAAGATAAATAGTTCATTCACATAGATGTTTGAACTGTGATCAAACACTTTGTTACTAACTACTAACATTTGATCATAACAAGCATATACTGTACCAGTTGTGAGACAACTTCTAAGTCAATAATTTCGAACTTCTTGACATAGATGAACTTTGTCAATTATATGATCAAATATTTAATTCAAAAAGAGTGTGTTCTTTTGCATATTTCTCTAACCTTATTCAACATCACTTGGAAGACTATAAAATTCATAGTATAATATACTGTTAATTATACAATATGACAAGATTAACTAATCAATGAATTTTTTATTCACCAAATCAAACTATCAATTCCATCTCAGTGGTATGTATGTTTGTATATATATATATATATGTTTATTCTCTAAATAAACACAAGCTGAAACTGTACAATGGTATTTAAAACATTTCACAGTAACTATTCAGTTTTCAATAACTCACGTGAAATTTCTTCGGTTTGATGATCCACCCCAGATAGCAATCATTTTTTCATTACCAGCGACAAAAACCTAAGTGAAAACAATTAATAATAATTCTCAACAAATAAAATAAATACAATTTTGAATGAATCCCAGTTTAGTTTTAGTTATATAGCTGTGTTATTTTTTGTAGATATTTTGAAATTCACATGGTGTTGTTTATTTGAATCTTCTCATTGATGTTTACGACTGCATTTGATCAGTCGTAAATATCAATATGAAAACTCAAGCAAACAATACAAAAATGAATTAAAACTTCACTCCATTACACAATCTAATGGCTATTAGGACTCAGTAGCTAAGTGGATAACGTGATGGTGTTTGAAGTGAACGTTACTGGGTTCGAGTTTCCGAGTGAACATCAACTCTGGAATGTAGGTACATCGAGCTGATGAGTTCCAAATACTACGAAACACGTGTCCTGGATTTCACTACTAGCCACCATCCATCTTTGCTCACAATGATATTTTGAAAGGAATTTATGTCATAAAAATTGAGGTTGCTAAGAGAGCCATTGACAACTAGGGGATATTCCAAAACATCTTAAACAAATCAATAACACCAAACAATTAAATTCATGAAAAGTACTTTTAGAATGAAATTACTTAAGTTTTAATAAAGACCTGTTCATCTGTAAAGTCAAACTATAAATAATTGAGACAAATAACTCACTGGATAAATTTTGTTGAATATCGCTAACTGACCAAAAGTCAAAATTTGATCTATTCAATTATAATAACTTAGTCTAAAGGTGTTATGGTCACCATACAGTTTAAAGACTATAGAACTAATCGTAGTTGAAAACGTAGACGTGAAAAAATAAGACTTTTTATTGTAGGAGAGAACAATTTTTTAGTGGCTGCCTGATGTTTTACAGTTTCTCAAATATGGTCAGTTTATGATGAAAATTACCATTAGTATTTTGTATGAATGTAAACTGCTGGTTTCATTCATAGTGTTTGACATAGTAATTAAAAGTCACATTAAACCCATATAATTTATTAGAAGTTTGATAAAAGACATATGTCATCAGGTACCTATCTAAGTGACGATATCCCTCAAAGCTAACAAACAGTCATGCATACACAATATATTGGTTGGAAATGTGGCTATTTTTCTGAAGGGGAAGAGATGGATATTTATGAATGAGTTATGCAAATATTTTTGATTCGGTTGCCTAATGAAAGCTTCCTACTCACTCTTGGTTCTCTCATTCAAGTATGTGGTTCGGGCACACATACAGAAGGCGTATATCTCAGTAGCAAAGTCATGCTACTGCACAACGTAACATTTATATGACTACGATAAAATTATCGAACACTTTTCATTCCCAGCCTAAATCAATTTCTTCCAAGTTATCTGAATAAATCACAAATATAAATTTTTTTTGAGGATTCATTAGATTGAAAGTTTAAACAACTGCTCTTTTTACAATTCACTAGTGAAACTCAAAACAAAACTTGGTGAATAAGAACTGTGATTCGTAGTTAGAAATAACATGATTCTAGTTTTGACTCCACTCTAAACATTTCTGACTGAAAGTAGCTTTTTACTCAAGTTATTCTATGTGAATTAAAAAACTGATTATAAAAGTACAAGAGTATTTTGAACAGAAAAACACCTTATTTTTTAAAAGAAATGTATATATTTTGACTAGGGGAGAATGGAATTCTCGGTATTTACAATACAGTTATGAAGAATAAAACTGTATATGTCTAAAGCGTTATAGCAATTTAGACAAGGTGTTGAAAAATTCTTTGTTGTGTGACTACCTTGATCTGAATCGCCTCATTCATAAACAATTAAAGTTCTATGGTGAATTAATATAACAGGCTAATAGGAATTGTTGTCTAAAGGTTTACTGATTTTTGTATGTCTAATTACAAGTTTATCGATTACACTGTATGCTTGCATGTCTGCTTTCATTCGTCCAAATTATTCCTTGTCTATTTCCACATTTGTGCTCATGTTAATTATTAAGTTTAATTGCGCTCAAACTACGTATGCCTAATTGATTATCATTAATTCATACATTATTCACTTTATATAACGAGCAAGTCACTTATTATTCATTGAATAGGTGTTTACAATTACGCCTGTTTGGATATACTTAACTAACATAATCAATCTGCCAGTTTGCTTGCTCACATGAATGTTTGAAATGCATACATCCTAAAACGAACTTGTATTCGACTCTTTATTTCTATATTGCACTAACATAAATAGTCGATATAAAACATACCAGGTTAAATAGACTATATCCTTTATAAGTTCCAATATCGTTCAGAGATATCGGAGTTAGAAAATGGACTATGAAGACTAATGAATTAGAATATAAGGTTTGTTAAATAAATCAAATTAGATAACTGAATAATAACTCTGGAAATTTGACACGTATTATCGTGAATGTTACCACTAGTCAATAGAGTTTACAGTTTTAAACAAACATTACGGTAATATTAATGACTATAAACAAAGTAAGTTTACAAAATCGTAAAGATGACTTCAATTAGCGTGGAAATAAGATAACCTTATGAAGTCATAATTTCATTGTAATGCACTAGACAACAATTTAAGCAACTTTTATATCGTGTAAATAAAGTTCATTACTATTTTAAAAACCTTAATATTTTAAAGCAAATTAGTTATTTCACGTTTCAATATTAATCTGAACCATCACACAGTAATCAGTAAGTTGAGGAACATGACATTGCATAAAGGTACATAATTAACAAACTCATCGAAATTCAATGAGAATAGTTAAGTTGAAATAACGTAAGGTTCACATTTATCGAATTGTTTAACTTCATTTTCTCTTTTTTTCTCAAATTAAACTATATGAAGATCAATTCACTTGGTATTGTTTTACTTGAATCTTCCCATTGATGTTTAGGACTGAAATTGATCAGTCTCATATTGGCACATATGCATACTGTGCGTATTGCCTCGATATTGCCTTAATTTATAAGGATTATAAGCGAAGATGGAATAGTGGCTAGCAGTGGAATCCAGGATGTGCGTTTCGTCCTATTTGGGACTCGTCAGCTGGATGTATCTGTATATCAGAGTTGGTGTTCACTCTGGAAGAGACTGATCAATTTCTGTCTCAAACATCAATGGGAAGATCCAAGTAAAACAATACCAAGTAAATTAAACTTCACCCCATTGCACAAGCAAGTGGCCATCAGGACTCAGTAGCTAAGTGGATAATGCGATGGAGTTTGAAGCGAATGGTACTGGGTTCGAGCCCCAGAAAGAACATCAACTCCAAGATGCAGGGACATCCGGCTGACGACTCCCAAATACTACGAAACGCGCGTCCTGGATTCCACTGCTAGCCACTATTCTATCTTTGCTTATATATGAAGATCATTTAAGATTTCATAATTAAATTTAGGCATCAAAGAATCCACCAATTTTACTTTACATAAAACTATTATGCATAATTACTGAAATAAAACTAAATTATCTCCCCTCTATCCGGTCCTCTATTGTTGATAACATGAGATATCACAGATAATCCCATCGATATCATAAGTTATAAATTATTAAGACACTCCTTATTTTTATCCCATTCAATTAATATTCTCGTAATGAATATCACATATTATTCAAATAAAATATCACATAATATTGATCTTTATCCTAATTCTACATCTTTGTTCAGTATCAATATAAATTCTCATTCTTACTGTGTAGTAAACAAGCATTTACAAGCAAAATACTTGTTATTACTACTGAGAAATCTGTTGAAGTGGTTGCCTGAATGTAAATTATTAGTGACCAGAACTAATTGAATACAATATAAGCAAGGTCATTTATTTAAGTAAATAATAAGTATTATTGTTATAGTCACTGATCAGTGAATTGTACGATAAAAAATATCAACAACCTGGGTGTTGTTTTTTTCTTCTTCATTTATATCACTGTTGCTTAACAACCTTAAAACAATAAACCAAATGATACCATGGAGAAAAACAAATGAACATTGAATAATAATTCTTAATAAAAATTTCTTTTAGACTAATATGAAAAATACACTTTCCTAATCATAATTAAGAATAATAAAAAGTAGTTCGGCTAGTATCATAAAACAAGATTGATGGTCAGGACATGGAACGATTATGTTTATAGATTGGAACGATTTTTCTTTTTTTGCAACAAATGTAAAGATGAAATCCAGGTTATCTTCAAATATGGTTGATTTGGAATAACGAATCCATAAAGTGTGAATTCTGATATGGATTTACAGTATTTATCTTTTTGGTTCATACCTAACTGTTAGCATACTGAACTTGTATGAAGAAAATTAATGAAAAGTGGTGTCTATAAAATTTCATCCTAATAATTGTGATTCACTTAAAAGTGACTAACTTCGAGAAAAATTCCCGAATTCACTAGAGTTTAGCCATTATGAGATAGAAACTATTGTTTACATTGACTAAATTCTGCTCAACATTAAGAATTTTTTAGTCATTAAATGCCAATCTAGTAGTCTGATGGATAAGCTTTCGTCAAGAAGTCTGAAAGTGCTGGGTTTAATCCCTGGTAGGATCAGGGTTGTGTACTGCTAAAGAGTCGCATACTAGAATACAACATTTATCAGTTACTTCCATATGTCAGTGGTTGTCTAATTAAAGTCAATTTGTGATGTTAGCCTATAATTTATGTCCGTTATCATAACTCAGTAATGATGTTCAACAACACTTTGTACTTGATATTATTACCACAAAGTCTAAACAATTCGAAGGGTCATAATCGCTTAACTTGAAACTTAAATTTCCAGAAACGTTTCTTAAAAATGATTTTGGATTAATGCTCCTTGTTGATTACAGACAACAAATTCGTTCACATAGAGTATATAGCAATAAAGTGGACTTTAAACAAGTTGCATTGATTTAAGGAAAACTGTATATGTTCATGAAGCAGATGCGAAAATAAATGAACGTCATACACTGCCCTATACTCCTATTTCCTTTTAATAAAAAAACATCTATCATTTATATTTACAACAAACTAAATATTGCATAAAATAAATATTCAATTATGTCCATTGTTATTGTGTAGTGTCATTGTAAGATAAAATAACTTACTTGTTTCATAGAAAACTGACATCTACCAACACAATCTAATTGGAATTCAATACGTACAAATGTATTAGAGATAGGTGGCTGAAAATAAAAAGAATACTCGTCAGTTGAATCAATTATTGATGCTGTAATAAAACCATCCTTAATTGGGAGTTCCAATGTTGCCAATTCATCTGAATGCATGCCAACTCCACCACGTAATAATGTTAGATCACGTTCCCATGTATTACATTTCGTCCCTTAAATGAATTAATCAACAACATAATCTAATGTTAAAATCAGTTAATGTACGCAAAAACTAATAAACTATCATTTTATTTGTCGGGAATCGTACTTTACACTGTTGTTATTAAATACAAGAATAATAATGCAAACTATTACATAAATTTTTATGCGTTAAAGTCTGAAGAGGTAGGAACTAGATTCAAATTTTACTATAACTATCAACATCCAGCTGATGAGCCCGAATAGGAAAGAATCGACATCCTCCATTTGATCATTAACTACGATTTAACTTTATCATATGACAGTCGTTATATAATATGTTTTACTAAAACCATGACAAAACTTGCTTTTAGTTCAGCTATTAAACTACCACTGATTAGGTCTAGCTCTTGTAGTAGATATGTTTCGTTATAATTCCGTAGTCTTAAAACCAACCTATCCGATCACTTATAAATAAAATTTCAAGTTATCAGTAGTTATGTGAGAAATTAATAATACATGTAGACCATTCCCAAATACCATAAAGCTAAAATATACGATTCTAGGCTTTAATAAAACTGTTGAAAGTATAATCCTGAAACCATTTACAAGGTGATAAATGTCATATTCATTATCTTTATTCCAATAAATTTTAGTAAAAAAAGCACTATTTAGTGTCACTCATCAGTTATTGTCGTTTATTGAGATCTGTACTTCAGTCTGACTGGTAAACTGTAAGTTTAAATTTTTGAATTGGTATGGAAGAGACTGACAGTAGAAGAGCTCTACAGTTAAATCATTTATATAATAACTCAACAAATCACTAACATCATATTTTCGAATTGCTTCGTTGTTGCTAAAATTGTATAAATAAACTTTCTTAATTACCGAAGAGATTAAACTGTTTCCTAATTTTTTACAAACACAGTTACTTTTAGATTGAAAAACAGGGGTTCATTCTTGTCATATGAGAAGTTTTACTAATAACTTACCAAAGAAATTGTAACAATCCAATTTCAGTATAGACGGCATACGATACCAATTATCAAAACGTAAACCATACATTGGAACTTCATTAGTTGGACATGTAACACAAGTTTCTAAATTTGATAAATGTTTCTTCATACCAACTGAGCATAATTCACATGTATTACCATCTAATGGAAATGTACCAGTTGGACACTTGTGACAATCTACTGGACTCTCTGTTTGTGGTAAAGAAACACCACTATTTTCATCACATATTTTTGGTTCAATCCACTTCCATTTACGTTGTGTCTACAGGCAAGAAAACACATACACATAGAAACTGATTAACTATTTCACTGAATAAAGTTTATTTAGAAACTTGTATTATTTACGTAACAGAATAACAACTGTGATATAGTTAATAAAACTCAAATAAAATCACCCTCTTCTAAGTTTTAAACCATGAAGATCAAATTATCAAATAAAATTGCTGCCAGTAGCAAAATTCAAGGAGAGATCATCATCTTATTTGGGACTCGTGTGTTGAATGTGATATATAGATAGATAGTGTAGTATAGACAGACATATTCAATTTTTCTAGGATAAAGTATTTCGCCTGAAATAGTCAACAATAAATGAAGTTTACTAAAATAGTAAAAGCAGATCGTTTAAACTTTATTGTTCGTTTTAACATCAGCATGAGTATGAAGATACAGAAGACATGACAGAAGTCAGTAGTAGTTCAAGTAATGTATTCAGAAGGAAAATCGAGAATATGATAATGGTTAAGAGGAAAAATATGTCTGAAAGTAGGGAGAGATAGATGAACCTGATATTACTAGGCTAAATGATTCAAAAAGATGTAGCAATAATGAAAGCCTAAGAATTTGATCCAGCAGTCCTGAACTAATTATCAAGGTAAATGGTTTGTATGGTATAGAAAATAGAAAATTCAAACTAATATAAGGCTGTCCCAATTTGATTTCCCAATGAAATTACTCAATTCATAATTGAATATATCATTCTCTGAATAAAATATACATTCTATTGACATTGATCACTTAAAAATGTACTGAATTTTATGTAACCGCTACAAAAGTTTGATTGTATAATTAGGAATATCTTACCATTTGTTGTTGATCACACGATGTCCAATAACTTGTATAATCATCTTTCTTACATGGGGGACGTGGACTACAACTTGAAGATCCATTACCTTTAGTTGTTAGAAAGTAAAACATTTTATTATACATTTATGAATAAAACTATAAAAAAACTTAGTTCCATCTAAACTATGCCAAACATTCTAATTCATTCACTCATCAAGTTCCATGTATAAAGAGAATAAAATATCAAGGCAAACTCTTTACTAGTTTTTAATAATAATGATTTAATCTTACTTAATTTTTTATATCATTACAATTGATGATTCCATCATCAATCAATTTTTGAATGAATAAAATTCATTTGATTGAAGTAATTTTTTTGGACTAAATTTCTGTCACCTTAAAATGATGTCAGTTTATTAACGGTAAACAGTTAATTTAATAGTTGAATTCACGAGTCAAATGAAGCTAGACCACCATAGGAAACCTGGAAACACTGGACGGTCATTTCGTCCTGGTATGCGATACCTCAGCAGTGCGCATCCACTATCCCACCTCACGAGATTCGAAACCAGGAACTACCGGTCACGTGCGCGAATCCTTAACCTCTAGACCGCTGAGTCGGACGACATCCAACGGTGTTAATGTCTAACTTCAACCAATCCACGAAGTTGCGCCACCGTCCAACGATTGATTGTCAAATTATCATTGATATAGCTGCTAATTTAAAATTCTTAAACTTCACTAAGTTGTTTTTAATCATTAACACTGAAGATATTCCATCTCTATCTACTTCCAAGTTATATTTGACGTTATTTGTATACATAATATTTTTGAATAGAACTTAACGAATGTGTTCAAAAAATTTTAAGATTGATTTAATTAAATGATTAGTTGTTAATCCGATATTAATAATCATTGTTGCCACTAAGCTTGTTGTATTTAATTTATATGAAGTATTTTTAGAATTGATTTATTACTTTTGAATAGTCATTTGGATAGGAGTTACTTTATTGTTTAATGATTACAATCAAGAACTATGAGAGGAAGAATGACTGGTTTATGCAAATAGAGTTTGGCCGTAAATATGAATGTTTATATATATAAAAAAAACCTTGATAATATGGTGAAAAATCTAGCTTATCATAAGGTCAATTAATCAACAGGAATATAGTGTTTTTAACCGTAGTAAAAACCAAAAATGTATAAGCGATGAGTGCAACAACGAAGCGAAACGTTAACTTTTTCGTCCTACCTTAGTTTTTCCACAAAAATTTTATATAAATAAAATTGATCATCAAAGAAGTTCCTGCCACCTTGAACTTTTCACAGTTTCAAAATGAAACATACGACAGCTCATTATTTCGACAAGTATATTTCAGTAGCGATTAGGTGAAATCTAAACTATATGAATGTCTGAAAGTAATTCTTGTTGACTTTACCACGATTTGAGTTAATCGTGAAACATTATTTATTTGTTCAATACTGACAAATGTTACCTCAAGACTCATCTGTTTCTAATAGTTAACTGTAATGATGCAATATATTTGGTAAATGTTATATTATTCATTACAAACATACTCAATGATCTTACACTGAATAAAATGAAAATGATTTAAATGAGTTGGATCATTGATACTATCTACTAAAAAATATTACAAGATTCTTCTAGAACATCGTTCTTTATTGTGAGTTAATGGCATCATGCTATTGTACTCAACTTTTGTATTTTATATAGTAGGTTTACATAATTCTGTCCTCACACTGAGAAAAAAACAACACTCGAATATAAATTAATTTACGCTGAAATCGAGTAACTCTTTAAAGTTTTGAATTCAATCATGAATAGTAAAAAAAAGAAAAAAAAATAATCTGAGTTTACTTATTACATAATTTTACTGTTTACGTAAAGAAGCTATACTTTTCGATTAAAAATTCACCAATTAGTTTTTGCATAAATATACATTAAAATTTCACATGCTAATCAACTTGTTGAGTATTTTAGAAAATCTCTTTAAATAAGACACAAGTAATTACAATATTAAACAAATGCATTTGATGACGTTTATTGCTTTTTCTTTTTTTATTGTTTTCATACATGAATATAAACTAGTTGTCATGTCTACAAAATGTTTAAAAATTATTCATAATGGTTACTTATATAAGTAATTTTGGAAAACTATATGAAAAATATGGAGTCATTTTAAATTATATAAAATAATTATTTTTCTTTTTATTAATTTTTATTAAGAATGATGTTAACAATTCTGTTTATTTCATAAAACAGTTTAAAATCAATAAAACGTAAGCAGTTGCCAATGACAACACAAATGTACATTAAGTATGCAAAACAATATTATCATTAGATTGACATATCTAATCATTTGAATAAACAAAACAAACCTTCTGTGATTATATTAATTTGATTAAAGTATTTGTTTTGTTTCATTGGTTAAAAACTAGAGATGCGGTTTAGTTATGAAGAGCGTTAGGTTTTCTACCGGTTAGTCACATATTTGAGTTCTATTGTACCAAATCTCATTTGGATATCTCAGTAGTATTACTAGACTTCAAATGAACCGTACAGTTAAAGGCTAAGCACAGAAAATCCATATTTAGTGAGTTACATGTATTTTGAGACCTTATTAGATAAATGAGTTTAAAATAAAATCTAGTAGTAACCAATTTCATGTTTGTCCAACTCATAATGAAAATTGAATTCCATCGATTAAGTCACAAATAAGCAACTGATTAAGGTGAATCTGATTTAAGGTTTATTGACTTAAACCTTTCGAAAGGAAGGGTTGTTAGTGGTGATCCTCTCCAATCAACTAATATTAAACTTCTTGATTGGTCTCTCTGGTTTATAATAGTTCCCTATTGGTTTCTTCGAAGTGTTATATAGTTTTCCATATTGTCTTCTCTTGCAGCTTTCTCTACTGTCGTTGTTAGGTCTTCCATGTATTTCTGCCTGTCAGCTCCGACGCTCGTCTTTGCTCTCTTGTTTGTTTCTGTGTATTCGATTTGTTCCTTGACGTTCTCATTTCTTGTCTGACTGTTGTTAATTGCTGTCTCTTTGTTCGTCCATTCTTGAACACCTCCTAGGATATCGATAGAGATCCATTCTTCATGACAGTACTTGGTGCAGTCCAGCACATGACACTTTGAAGTTAGCGCTTCTCTAATCCCTTTCCATTTGTTCTCCATATTAGTTTCTTCTTCCTTGAGTAGGTCTTGTAGGGCTTCGAACCTGTTGCTGAGAACTATCTTGAATTCGTTGAGTTTATCGGTATCTCAAAGAAAGACTGTATTAAACTATTATAATATTGTTTCCCCAGTTGACCAGTGCTTTTATAAATTGACTTCCATCTTGATGATCATTAAATGGCGAGTTGAAGCTATTACATCACTTCTCTTGGTTCTCATATCTTTCATTGACTTTCAGAATCTTTAGTGACGCAAATATGACCGGTTTGATTCTGTGTAGTGTGATCCGGTGAAACCTATGTAGCTCTGTGTGCGTGTTTGTAGACAAATATAGTGCCACATATAACAATTTTGGTCAGGGCACATACATTAGCAAACCCCTCTCCATTTTTTTCCTTTCCCTTGGTCTATGTCATCCCGTGTTATCTTCATTGACATAATTAGTGGGTTCGTGGCACTGGACAATATTCATTGTAACCATCTTTCTCTTTGTTTTTGAGAGATACTTTGATGGTCAAGGATCTATGAGATTCCCATCGTATAAGTGCTCTTCGTGTTTATATGGACAGCATCAGTACAAATCTTTGTTTTTGTGAGGCATTCTCTTCTTCATGACCAAAGTACTGAAGGATCTCTCCCGAAGCTTCTCTTTTCTGTCCAGCTTACGTCCAATGGGTTCCACTTATTCCGAGCATCATCAAGCTGCATCTCTTCATTTTCGCATCTATTTTATTGGTTCTCCTGGTCTACCACAATGTCTGGACATTCCATTTACCTACACTAGCTATTACTCTGCTCATCTGAAGAGACATCGGCCCTATAATCCTCGTTGAGTTTCGGCTTTCACTACGAGGCAGCACAATTCTTCTGAATGGAAATCCTTCAACGCAGAAGGCTGGGCTTAAATGGTTTAAATTGTTTTCCTGGCTAGCCTTTTCTTTAGCGAAGCTTTTTTCTACAGAATGGAGTTTGTGACCCCATTCCCAACCCTTCTTCTTTATCCAGGCTTTAGACCGGAAGTAAGTCTAGGAGGACCATGGGTGGAGTTATGAATAGGGTCATGATAGATAAGATGTTCAGATTTAGGTTTCATTTTAGCAAGGATATTTGAAACAGGTATGAGGACACATTTTTGAAACAAGTATTATTTTACTAGCATACTCTCTAAACAACGATTAGGATTTCTATATATATTCTAGATTTTGGAGAGTTTTTTCATATCATAAAATTTTAACAACTTAATGAGAAATAATTCTACATTATGAACAGTCTGAATTCATGCATATTTTCAACGCACTTCTTCTGAAAACTAGTAAAAGCCAGTGAAATATAAAATAGCTAAACGAAAATTACAAGAAAAACAAAATTTAGCATATGGAGAGATTAACAAATAGTCACACGGACAATGGGACTAAATGTAACTTAAAAAATTCATTAAGACAGATTCAAAATTAGAAACACTTATCCTTGAATGTATTAAAAAGTGACTGAAGTTATCTAAAGACTAGAATTTCAATAAGCCTAAGGATACACACTAATAGAATAATTCTTAGGATTTAAAAATTCCAGTTGATTAAATCATACTACCTATCTCAGTTATCTACCTTTCTGTGAAGAAATTATGATTGTCTACCATGTTCAATTATTTCAGAATTTCGTTTTGATTTATTTTAAAGTCATCTTAACACATACCATTTTGAGTTCTTATTAGTGAATAATTCTACTACTCAGAAACTATGTAAATGATGCTAATCAGACAACAGATCACTTCAACTCACTGGTTTTAATTACTGGTTCTTTTCATTTCAAACATAACATAGTTCTTAGCACATCGTTCAGTTAGCAGTTGGGTATAGTCGATTTGGTACAGATCTCTTTTTGTGACTCAAACACTTTTCATCTAAAGGACTGAACATCAAAATGTATTTCTAAAATGTTTTTTACTCATGAATCCTTTGTGTTGTCCAAAAAAATCTAAAAGCTATCAAAGCTCTCCAACTCATAAGTGAATTTCGCAATAGCGATTTCGCGAATGATTGACAAGTTTCTACGAAACCACATAGGGCATGAAAAGAATCCTGGAAGAAACCTATTTTCACTCCGAAAAATGAGATCCCGCTGAGATATTGTTAAAGTATTAAAATCGAAAACAGATCCTCAACCTTGTATAACTAATAAGCTCCCTAAGACTAATATACTAGTAAATGCTTGATTGTTCCTCAAGCGAACTAATTCTGATTGAAAAATGGTTTCAAGATAGGCTCAGAAGTATTGTTAAATAAAAAAAAGCAACAAATTTCACTTGTACGCATAATTCACATTTGATTTCTGGAATTAATTCAGTTTTAAAATATTTTCTTTGGTGTCATTCATCCCTAAATTATATCATTTGACGAACTTGTGTAAAATAGCAAGAAATGGATAACTGTTTATTTTTATAGTTTCTGATGCTAATGTAAGAATGTATACCTATGTCTTCACATGGAATCATGCTTAAAAGCTTAAAATTTCACGATTTTGTCATCTTTCGAAGGTTTTTCATTAATAATAATATTAAGTTCACTATATTCCAGTATCCACAAAATTATTCTTCTACTCATAAAAGTTTGTATCAGAGTGCAGAGGTTGCTAAGTGTTAAGGGGTTCACCTTCCAGCCACTAACTAGTGTATTTAAATTCCATTCCACGTCTTTCTGTTAGGGGAACTAGGTAGTACCACTAACTACCTCACTTCAAGTTTAGATTGATGCAAAATATACAAGTCTGTGCCTGATCAGTATGTTAATCATACTAAAAATGATCATGTCAACTCCTGCGTTGATAACGAGTTATTGGTGTCAGATAACTCATAAAATCCTTTCTTTTGTCTGACGAACAAAAACTACTTAATTCCAAATAAAGTTTGCAATCAACTTCACCTATTTTTTCTCTACGTCTACATAATAATGGACATAATATTCACTTGTGAATAATACTTGTCTTATTTAGTACTTCATTCGAACAATATTTTAAAAATAAATTCGATACAAAAACCGTGGAATTCCGCAGATCGTGAATTCTGAAAGGAAAAGAAAAGTGAACTCTGAGTGGACTTTTTTGTGGTGTTTTTCAGTAAGATCCAGAGTACTTGTCAAGCCCCAGTTTGGACTCGTTAGCTAGATGTACTTAAATCACTGTGTTGATGTCCACAAAAGGACTCCAACCCAGTACTTTTGGACTAAAATGCTCATTTATTGAGTCACAATAGTCAACTATCCAAATAATCTCCAGTTTGTGTTTTAGTTTTAAGTGTTTAAATATTCTATTATTGTTGTTAAAAACTGCAAATGATCATTTTATTTTGCTATTTCTGTATCCTGAGTGGACTGCTTCACTGTTGCAGCCCTGAACAACGATAAGGGGGAGTATCAAGCCACTTAAAAATTAAAGCGAAATATTCAAACAGACCATAAGTATTTGAGCCAGTAGTGTAAATATCAAAATCTCATCAAAAGATAAATTTTCGGAAATATAAAACCACCAACAAGAAGTATGTATGATAGGCTTTATTGTTTCGAAATATCGATTAATGATTCTGTTTTAATATGATGAATATTGACTTAGTAAATCCTATAACCATCATCATACTAAATTAACATGTTCATACACGCTTGAATTAATACATAAACTTAACCAATTGAGTATATAATATAATGTATATGGGTGTCTTATAATTAAGAATTTTAAACTAATTATTATTATATGGATTATCAGTTAACTGCAAAGATGCTCCACCTTCTATTCAAAAAGATTTGCAAGGAAGAACAAGTGCGAACACATTGGAAAGAAGGATACCGCATCAACATACCAGAGAAAGGAGATCTGAGAAAATGTGAAAAATGCAGAGGTATCATACTACTGTCAGTACTAGGAAAGGTTTCTAACAAAATGTTGCTGAACTGGATGAAGGATTTAGTAGACGACCAAATTCGAGATCAACAGAACGGATCCCGTAAAGATCGGTCGTGGACAGACTGAATGGCGACACTATGGATCATCGCTGAACAATCAATTGAATGGAATTCGTCACTGTACATCAATTTCCTCGACTATGAGGATTTTATGGAGCTTCGTTTGACACTACGGTGTATCCGAGAAGATCGCCAATATTATCCGCAACTGATACGATGAACTATGCTGAGAAGTTGTGCATGGAGGACAGCTTTATGATGCATTCTAAGTGAGGACGGATGTCAGACAAGTCTGCTTACTTACCCCCTTCCTATTTCTTCTGGTGATCGAGTGAGTTATGATGACCTCCACATCTGACGGGAAACACGGAATACAATAGACAGCTTGGATGGAACTGAACGATATAGACTGAAAAGATGACGTAGCTCTTCTATCCCATACACGTCAATAAATGCAAGTCAAGAAAGTAGGTCTCAACACACATGGGAAAAGTAAGACCTTGAAATGCAACACAGAGAACACCAACCCAATCATACTTGATAGAGAAGTTCTGGAATAAGTGTAAACTGACGTACCTGGGTAGCATTATTGATAAACCCGGAGGATCCAATGTAGATGTAAAGGCAACATTCCTACAATTTAAAAACAAGTAGAACTCAAAACAACTGTCAGCCAACAATAAAGCCAGAGCTTTCAGTACGAGCGTCAAAACGGTTCTACTGTACGGAGATGAAACTTGAAGAACCACCACGTTTATCATCAAAGAAGAACAGGTATTTATAAACGATTCTCTACACAAGATACTGAATGTCCGTTGGTCGGATACTATTAGAAATGACCTACCGTGGAAGAGAACAAACCAACTTCCAACTGAATAGGAAATTAGGAAAAGTGGATAGGACATACATTGAGGAAATCATCAGACTGCATCACGATGCAAGTGATATATTGAAATCCTGAAGGGAAAAGAAAGGAAAACGATCAAAAAACATACCGCGTTGAGAATTTGAAGCAGATATCAAAAGGATGAACAGAAACGGGAAACAACTATAAAGGATTGCAGGGTACAGAGTTGGATGGAGAATACTGTTGAGCGGTCTATGCTCTTTCACGAGAGGTAAAGGGCGTTTGTAAGTAAGAAATATAACCTGTCATGATGTTGAATAGCCATAAACTTTGCGACTACCTATTTGAGTTCTTCAGAAGAACAAAATCAAGTTAACCATTGCTACTTAACAGGTAGACATGACAGCGAGTATAATTTATGATTACCTGAATACTGATCTGCTGGACATGATTTACATGATTCGGCTCCTTCAGATGAATATGTGTTTCTTGGACATAACTCACAACGATCAGCTTTTTCTCGTGGTCCAAAACTGCCAGCTGCACATGGCGTACATACAGTCACTGGTGGAGTTCCAGTTAAACGAATTTCTTTAATATGTAATTCAGGATCTTTTAATCCATACAATTGTTGTATATAAACATTTTCAACAAGTAAATACCATTGAAGAATATTGTGGCCAACTGGAACGCTGAATGTCACAGTCTCATATGCATACGATCCGGTAAGACCTAAAAGAAAACTCCCACCGGGTAATTGTGTACATCGTTCATTTCTTATCTGAAAAATAAAATATAACCTTGACAAATGAATTAATGTTTTATCAAATCATTACACCATCTTGGTTATAACTTCAGAAATATTTAAGTCGTCAATTAAAATGAATGATTTCTTTAAAAAAAAACATGATCAATTCAAGCATCTGTTTTATCATCATCCATTAGAGATCACCATAAAATAACTGGGAATTTAAAAATGATATCTTAATGATCATATACTTGTTTTGCAAATTGAAAATACAAAATTTCATCTAATAAAACATTTAAAGTGATTGAACTTGAAGAGTTCAAAACTAGAACTACACATCTATTCACTACTCATTGACTATTAGTTAAATTTCTTTAACACAAATATATGTTCGTCAAGAAAAATCATCTGACAGATTGATTAGTTTAAAAATTACTGATGGCTGTTATTCAGAATGTAATTCTATTTGCTATTTTTTACAGAAGAATTTATTTAATATTTATCAGTAGATTAATTAATTTGATTACTTAATAGTTGAATTCATGAGTCGATTAAAGCTAAACTACCTTAGAAAACCTGGAAGCACTAGATAGCCGTTTCGTTTTAGTATGAGACTCATCAGCAGTGCTTTGTTTAACTCATGGATTCAACTAATAAATTGCTACAATCTCCACAAAACCCATTTCTGATAATGAATATCATTTGCTCTCTAGTGACTGGCTTCAAGAGGCATTTCCTGGAGATCTAGTGAGAAGCTATGATCAGTACAATTCAAGCGAGTCTGTTGTGAGGCAGTGTCTCATTGAGGAAAATTGGATAAATGGTTGTTCAAGATCATGAAATGCTCAAAGTTAGACATTAATACCGTCGGATGATAGCTCATTTGTCTGGAAGTGAAACGTTTGAGTGCGAAACTTAAGGTCTTGGGTTCGAATCCTGCGAGTTGGACCGTGGATGAGCACTGCTGAGGAAATTCATACTAGAAAGAAATGGTCGTCCTATATTTTTAGGTTTTCCATGGCGGTCTTTCATCGATTCATGAAATCAAATATTAAATTACTACAATCTCCACAAAACTCCTTTCCGATAATTTCATTATGATACTGTAATTCTTAAAGAGTACGCAATTTTTTTATAAAAAAATTCAGTTAATTCATTCGGTTAATTGGTTAAACTTTCAATGTTATTTAATCTGGTTTATGGCATCTATTATTTGGTTTTTTCGACTATCTAGTCATATAGAATAGATGATGGACTTTATATGGTTAAAAGTTATCAAGATTAGATCAATAAGCTTCTAAAAAAAGAAACTTTAATAAGAAACATAAATCCATTGAATTCTTAATTTTGTACTGAATTCTTACTTTTATTAAATTAATGTTCAAAATAAAACATTTAAATCTGAAGGTCACTTTTTAAAAAAATCACATATTATTTTATAATAAAATAATAATAATGAATTTAATTACTCAAGTCAAATTCATATAAAAATTAGTTATTTTCATTTTGTACAACATACTTTAAATTCAATGTTTATATATAAATAAAATTAAACAAAACAATCGCAATATATAAAACCAAAATATATATATTATGAATATTCATAGTTAGAAAATAATTACATGAAATTTATTTAAAGTACCCCCAAATTCGCTGGTATGGACGAGAGTGTGAAGAGTCAGCTTTCCCTCTCTAGAAATGTTCTCACATGAACACATGAATACAGCCGCTGCCAGGGAAGTCCTACTAGCTGCCTTCTCGCGGCGGGGGTGTTGTTTACGAAATTGACGAGATGGAAAATGAATATCCGGCGCTTTAACCAGGTTGGTAGACAAGGAGAGTCCGCCTAGGGGAGTTGGTAAACCCTGATTACAAACCAACGCTGCACATGGGTTCAAGTATCCTGATGGAACAAAAGGCGTATTAACTTATCGTTGTTCACCGGCTACCATGGGACTGCATCTCCTCACGTTACTCCATTGCCTTGTAGACTAGACCTTTAAGTCGAAGGCTCATGGTGTGACCCGTCTAAAAAACCACCTGCTTCGGTTTGAGCACCCGGGCAGTATCCCAGCCCTCACATAAATCGAACGATTTATGTGGTGCATATCTGTTTGGTGCCTCCTTGTACCAATGTTTATGCGTTTAAATAAAAGAAAATTTCAATTACAGGTTCACATATAAGTTGGATTTAAAAAAAGTGTCTTTCTCCATAATTGAACTGTTGTCTAGTCTTTAAAAATTCTTTCATATTTTAGGATAACTAAAATTACAGATAATCAATGATAAAAAAAGATTGTTCTGGACACCTTCTTCATATTGCTAAGCGACTTATCAGTATTGTATACTCATTAGTCCTTAAAGAGATGGAATTCAGTACATTGATAAGGATTTATGTCCATTTGCTATAATTGATTAACAGGGTCAGAGCTTAGTGATTGTTATTTTACGTTTGATGCGCTCACATAATATAATGTTGTGTTTATCTAATCTCAGTAATATTTTTCTACTCTTACACACATATTCTAGATCACTTACTCCACAGATTATGACCTCAAGAATTAATTCTTCAAATTAAGTTGTTAGTTTATGTTGAGTGGTTATTCATATTGAGCGGATATGTTGTGGCCTGCTTAAATCTAGTCCCCACCTTTAGTTGTAAGTACTTGGTAAACTACTGATATACACAACATTACATATCAATATAAATCATTTATAGATAATACCGTATCGACAAATTCAAAATATCAACATCGGAATAATTCAATCAATTACAAGTTAAATTATTATCCGGCTAAGTATATACGACCAAGCTGGTAGACAAATCAACCATATTTTATTATGCTAACCCCGTTCAGAACTATTTTTATTTCAGATATGTGAGTTTAGCTGGAGAACGTTAACTAACAACCATTTCTACGTCCACACAACCAGAGATACAAGCAGCGCAAAACCAAGTTACCAAATTCATGAAACGAGTATATATATATATATATATATACATCACACATTTATCACTCACAATAAAGAAAGCCAATGCTCCATATTCTTCAACTTGATATGTAAACGTTATTGTTCCAGGCTTAAGATTATGAACTTTCATTGAAAGTATCACAGTGCAACTGCCTGTTGTTTTCCCAACTAGGTGTTTACCTTGAGGTGACCAACCAGTTCTAAGAACAAAATGAAATGAATTCAAAACACTTTAAAGATTAGCTATGCACTTTAATATAAATCAATTTGTACACTTTCAATACGGAAATCATATACAGACCGATTTGCACTATCTTGGTTAGATGTCGGCCAAAATGAAATCAAACTACGGTTTTGTAAACAACAAGCAAACCTGGTAAGTTTATCTGTGTTTTAAATCTGTCTAGAATTAAAGATTCATCCAAACCACATTTTGCGATTATTATCACTCGTTTTGCTACTATCTATTTAGTTAATTAAATGTTTGTATTGATAACCCTTGGTAAAGCTTGTTCACTAAATATTTTACAACATTCTCATCACGTTGTTTTAAATAATAGCTACCTTAAAATGTTCTCATGTTTCCTATTTCCTTTACTTTTACGAAGTCCAATGAATGCACTAAACAAATTCTAACTAACTGGCTATAAAGGTTGATAAGCCTAGAGAGGAAATGGAAAAACAAGTAATTTATGATATGTGAAATCTAGAGATAAAAACGATTTTAGAAGCATAATCAATTCAGAAATATATATCAATTCGACGAAAGCAGTGATAGCTTTCTTTTGAAGTCTAAAATTAGTCTCGAAACATCTTAGAAACACTTTTAACTCTAAAAGCAAGAAACTCAAGTTAAAATAGCATAATCAAGAACAATAAGTCAATAACGGTTGGGCACATGTTTTGAAAATCCGAACAAAAATGGAAATCCGTCAATGCTGTCAACAATTCTATACAATATATGTATCTTAAAATCGATTAGACAATCTCCCTGGTAGGCATGAATAACTGTCTTTTCTAAATACTCGGTGTGCTTTTTATTTCAAATTCAAAACACCAAGATTAAGTGACTCCTAATTGACTACCAGTAGACTTTTAGACTAATTCTCTAAGTTCTGCAAACCTGTCTTAAGTTAGCGATGGTCTTACACAGCTATGACTTCAAAGCTGAGTCAGATACAAAGTTTTACATTTTCACTTACCCCATAACACCGCATTTGTAGCAGATAATGCCACAAAACTAGTAATTTTCAGGTCATTTACAGCTTCTGTTTGACTTGAGTGTGATGAAATCAATACTCATGAAAACAATTAGAGAATTATATCAGACAGACTGCCGAATATTAAAACATAAAGAGGAAGTTAAGCGCAATGAACCGGAGTAAATTTCAGGATTTATAATCACTCAACTCTAGATAAAAACACTTCACTGAAGCAAGATAATTTTTGCTATCGACATGTTTGAACAACAGTTGCATATTATATCGACAAGCAGAACAGTCGTATTTGCTTAATTATTCCAGGTCAGTAATCACGACTGACTTTCACTAAAAGCTGAATAGTAACTAAGTCGAAGATAATCAATGGCACTCTGATCAAGTAGTCAGTTCATCCACATGAGTCTTTTCTATCCTATGAAATTAGACGTTATAGTGACCTACTTTTATCAAGAAAACGCGATTGGTGTGATGGAAACAATTATTGTTATAACCAATTGTACCACGGATTGTTTTACCGTACTTGTTTGTTTAACTGTACCAAAACGCATACACTCTTTTGTTGATTGTGACCTTGCACTCACTTACGTTTTGCTCAGTGATTCCGCTTGTAATCTTTTGGCACGATCTCGGTATTCTTTCGATACCACAAGATCGCCAACAAATATATCTCGCTACAACCTCCAGTCGCCTTCTGATATCTGGTACGCAAACTTCTTGTGGTGGTGATCATAGTCAACCGCGACTCGACGCCACGCTACAACGTACACTGCGGTGGGAAGTTAAATAAGTTCAAATAAGACAGTTTTAAGGTGTCCAATAAATTTTAAAAGTGACAACCTAGTTAATTAGCACGATCAAGCTTACCAAGCCACTAAAGTAGTAAATAATTTATGATTAACCTTAAGCTGCAGGAAAGGTGTCAAGGCGAGAATACCCTGTGCGATGAACAGTGAAAGTGCTTGTTCGTGACCTGTATGATGTTAAAATGGAAAATACTGGGTTCTACATCAGTGTTATAAAGAGTCAAGAGCTCTCCTCTAAACTTGAAATATTTTTAACGTGTTTAGCATGAATTAAACCACTTTTGAACATACAAAGAGTATTTGATATGAAGAGATTTTGTACGACCGATATTTAAAGCATACTCAGCGATTATCAGGAATATTTAACACTTTATTCAGTCTTTGATTTATTCTCCACTGTTACTGACTTAAGACTGATACAAAATCCTTTCAAAGTGAATATTCAAGTAATAAAATAATAACTTGTCTCAGACAAAGCTATAACTTGCAACCTGATCATAATAAGTAAACGACGTTGTAAATAACTGGTTCAGTAATGATTTGCATTACATATTTTGTATATGTCAGTTTCTACTCGTTAGTTATTTCCATCTACCTTATTTGAATGACTTAGACGTTTTTCCTTAATAACTAGTCTCTGTATTTCATCTTGTCATCATAAATTTCTGTCGTTGTGAGTAATCGTGAATGCTTAGATTTACTTCTTACTTCTGTTTTATAAAAAGCAGGTCAAACACAATTTTAAAAATGTAGTGCCTTAGCTTAACATGTACTTCCTTGTAACTAAATTAAACTTCCACTATAAATTCGTGTGTATGTAGTACGCACAAAACTATGAAGCTAATTGCAGGGTAAGTCATGCCATCGACCGCACAGAACTGCGAAAAATCATTTATGTACTTTTTGGTGGCATCTTTATTGAACTAAAAACTAGAAATTGACATTAGAGCTAAGTATGTACAAGTTACATTTGACGCATGTGGAAGTGAAATTAAATTATGTGGATAAAAGATCACTGACCACCTATCTATGGTAACTAAATGCTACATGTATTTTTCAGGAACAATGTTCATAAATAGAGCATGAAATAAAGAGGTATGTATTAAGATATCTCAATGTTTATACTTCAAATACTCACAAGTTGCATTTTTCATTAGTTAAACTTCCATACGTCGTATCAGAGGTCAGAAAATCTGGCATCGAATCCCATTTCGTTACTTCAAGCATATCACCTGTTGAATACGTTCCGGATGGACAGACCTCACAGTTCTGTGACAATAGGTTAAGATGCATTCCACTTGGACAAGTTGTCTCTGGAAAAATGAAGCAACATCATAACTTTCTTACCACAATTGTCTACTTTCCTTGGTAAACTCAAACTGTTTAGGTCACATTTTCTATCATCCTTTGGTATTTTGAAAAGCCATCTACTTCCAGAGGTATCACAACTTGTGCTTTTTATTTGTAAGTCACTCTATAAAGAATATATTATAAATATGTATGACAAGTACTTCTCGACATGATTGTGTATAAATAAAGCTTATAAAGAACGAAAGAAATATAAAGCGTAAAGGCATCATTGGACAAATAAACGCTCATTTAATGTTTATCAGTATGTAAATAATTAGAACAGTAAAACAAAAGCCGCAGTTTAAAAGAAGACGTACAGTAAATCCTTAAGATAAACCTTTTATAAAATACATATTTTAATTATCCAGTTAATTATCGTCATTAACTGTTTTTTGTAGTTGACTTCGAGGACTGGAAACAGAAAACGCCCACTGGGGTCAACTCTGTGAAGACAGCCTGAAAAACTAATTTCTAAAGTGAACGTAAACGCCGACATGATGAGAGTTTGAAGAATGTTGGACTTAATACTTTTTCGTTTAGTGATAACGTTTCATTTCATCAAAAAATCCCAAAATAATCTAGTCATATTCAAGTGTAAGGTATTCACTTTAAGTAATTTCTTCGACCACTCCTACTAACCAGTAACAAAGTTTTTGCTCTTCAATCTTCCTGAGGGTTCAAGAAGAAATAAAACTAGCCCACATATGGGCGATATCGTTTCAGATTTCTACACTAATACCAATGAATTATCGCCCTGAAATTTCCTCAAAATGACTGAAGTTAAATCGCTGCTTCGAGCTCGGTTGCTTACAAACGATGTGTCGCTCTCAATTTCATTGTCACTTAGTCTAGATGACACGAAATTCCACCTCTTGTCTGATCATATATATCTATGATTTTCAAAGCTGTAACTCAAACCTTTCCGTATTACATTACAGGCATCAGCAAATAACCCTTGACAGGATGATGTTTTTGTTTGTATTTTTCCAGATTGACGTTTTTGGATAAATACATTTGATCTGTTTAAATATAAACGATGCAGGCTGGGGTCAGGAGAATTATGCTGATCTTGTTCTATCAATCGTCCTCATACCTATCGATAGCTTTAGGTGCAAACCTGACAGCTTGGTAGCAATATCATTAGATTCTATGGCGTCAGTAATTCAAAATGTATGGGCTCCAAAGGTAGCGGACAGTAAATGGTCTGAGGTTCTGGAGAATCAGACTTTATTTAGCCATTCTACACAAACTACGAAGACTCATATCGTTGCTCAAGTAAAGGGACACCGAAAGCCCTATTAAACTAGTCTTCTTAACTATCACATAGTAGGATACCTCAATTCTTTTCAGTGTTGGGAAATGTGACATCATAATCACTAGGTACGAATGAATTTTATTACGTCTTTATGAAACAGCTGTCTGTGACATAATTTGTTTGCTTAGTCTGATCTGGAAATCGATAATAGTTAACCTCGTTGTATTGCATTCACAACTTGAATGTGGATTCCCTTGCCGTGAAATCTGATCACACGACTGATATTCTCTGTTAAGTAATACAACCTTATTTGACTGCTTAACAAGAAGATTATGAACTGACTAGACAAAGTGGGTTTCAGTGACATAACCACCACATCTGTGTTGATAACTACTGTTCACATCCACTCAAAATATTTGGGTCACTATCAACTATGAAGACCATCAAAACTATTGTTCCAGCAACTTCGGATCGACAAAAGTTCTTCACCAATAAACGTTACATTCTCATATTCATCAACCGCAAGCTTAATGCGTGAAGAATCTCAAAAAAGTTATTTATCCCGGATAAAATTCGCGTTACTTTTCAACTGAAAATTTTGGTGTGGAAAGTTGACTATTCGGTATAACTTGTTGCTTTGTTCATTACACTGTAATTCAATCTACATGTTTTCAAGTTGTATTCGTACTTCTTGAATTAAATCCCGGATGATTTGTCTTGGGTTCACTAACATTTCATCGGCATTACAAGTTGAACGTACGCTGAGAAAAATGATCTACAATTATGTGCAAATCAATTTATATTGTTAGCTTTTCAATTTTATGTGACAGGTTGAAAATGAAGGTACGGAAATCAGAGTTAAGTTATTGGATCTTGAGCATGCTTTGTTCGCTTAGAAAATCAAGGTAGAGCTGTAATTAGAAAGCCCCTCACTGTTCGAATGAGAAAACAATGCTTGCTTTATTTAATTGGATTATTGTTTTAATAGTCATTCTTATTTATGTTTTGGGCGAGTACATATCACTAGTAAATGGGTTTAACATCGATTTAAAATCTCCACTCCTCAAAACTGGACCAGATGGTTCTAGTTTTGGTTTTTCCTTATTGGGATATACTCACTTTTCAGGACAGAAAGGGTATATCACTTCATTATTTTCATATTTTCATGTTTATATAGGGTGGTCATAGGATCTCCAACAGAGGGAAACAACGGTGGACTGTTTTGGTGTCCACTTTTGAGGAGCACGTGTAGTCGAATCGATATTGATCTGGAAAAAGAGACTCATATGCAACCTGGACTAAATGGAGCACTTTTAGGATATTCAATGTCTTCAGCTTTTAACAACAGCCGGGGACCGATTACTGTAAGTTAGCTGAAAGATTCTCCTTATTTTACTTATCCCTTTTTCCTTACACCATCAATCCAAGTCGTTTGAAACGTGAAATATGACAAGATTTATTTACGATCTATTTAAAAACCGTAAACGTCCGGTCATATTTTTATCGTAAGGTCATTAATCGTCAGAACCTCCAGTTTTTATACTCGTTTCATGTTTGCCATACGTGGGAAAGAGATATCTCATTATCTCATAAACAACTCAGACTTCTTTGTTATTTCACACCTGGACTGGTTATATCTGATAAGCATACGTTCGGTAACATCGTGTTAAAAATCTTTTGCCGATGTTTCACACCCTGGATTGGGTTAACTTCATAAATCACAAGGACTTTCTTAATCTTTGCCATCACGAAGTGATGGGATCTCTAAAATTCATTATTCTGTCTGCCAAAATGCGCCTAGTTAATGAATTATAGGTTTACAGTCACCTAAGTAAAGAATTGTGGTCTGAACAATAGTTAAAATCGTTGCGTATATTAGTGATTTGGAATATTGTAAAGTACTATTCTTCATAAATAACATGGTGGTAAAAAGGTTGTTGCAAATGACCATATGAAAAAATTTCTTCGTAAAGATGCCAGATAGAAATGTAAAGATTAGAGTTTCTGTCAAGATTTTTTTATTTCTAAGATCTCTTTACACATAGAAACACAAATTTGTAGACCAATTCTAGGTTTAAATATTCCTACAAGCTCTTGAATATGATTTTTTTATCAGTCCATACCTTTATATGTGTTATACTTACATAAAATGTTTAAGAGAAACTTAACGGGTCGATTAAAAGCGAACCGTGTTTTTAACAAGATATTAAAAGTTCACCTTGTAGGTTTTTTAATTTCAACGACCGTTTTGCTATTGAAAACTGCTTATTACACTTTGTAGTCCAACAATGACTACACTTACCGTGATAGATAATTGTTTTCAACCATTTATTGCCAGTAGTTGGTAACTGATGTACTGTTTAATAGCTCTACACTGTCAAAAAATACGTTTGATATCTTGCGTTCTTCCGTTAGAATACATTCAAAAGGTATGTGCATAATAGACACCAGAGTAATTTGTAAATAAAATACAAATAAACTGGGATTTTTTGTCAATGTTTTATGTTGTTAATGCGGTTAGACAGAAGAATCCAGCTGCCACCGATGATGATTAAAAATATCCACATATATTAACAGAATTGTTTGATCGTGCTTAATATAGACACAAAATATGATTTTCACTAAAATTTCAGAAAAATAAGGTATATAACATCTTAATTCATTCAATCAGGTTAGAATCTCACTCTCGCTTCATACCAGATACGTTTAAATTGTGCATAAAACAAATACAGACCACCTAGATTATTGTAACGTAACTACCCGGTTGTCAATATTATTACCCGTGCTACTATTTTTTGTGAAGATATTAAATTATGTCATGTAAAACATATTTACTAGTATTGGTTGAAAAAGTGTTACACCTGAATACATTTTTTAATAAAATCCTGCACTGTACAAATCGAGTGATAAAATAAGTCATAATTGGGTTTTTTTAATACACCAAAAACTCATTGGTTAGTTTATTTAATTCAAGTTTAGTCACATTCATTAGGAATCTCTATTATGAAACTAATAAGTGATTGTTCCTAAATGAATTCATGAAAATGTTTTTGGTTTGGGTTCAAGCAGAGGTTATGGCACAAAAGATCAAACACATCCATTTGGCCAGCTAATATCCGAATTGTTTAGTACACACCAACAGTGGTTTAGCAGACCTAAATAGATGCTGTATTTTGTGTACGTATACACATTTTTTGGTAGAAAAATGGCATAGTTGTAAATCTATCTTATCTATATTTGTACAGCGTTAGCGGTTGTCATCCCACACATTACTGACAACATTTTTGTGTGAGTAAAATCCGAATAAGCCCGACATATAGGTTTAATTTACGTATCTTGTCGATTCCTCCTAACTTAAAAGGGCGAAGAATATTGGACACGCAATCAATCATACAATGTCATTTTCACTTCCTAATGACATTATAGAGTTATCTTCTTCAATCCAAGACGTTCCAAAAATTTCTAAGTAGTTTTATTTTGGAAACACTATGTAAACATACAATGGTCAGGAGCACTCTTTATAGTCATTATCTTAAAATCTATTGGCTCATCACAAAATAACCTGAACAATTTCATTAAGAGAATGTTTAAGCCACTAATTTAGTAATAACTCCAGTAAAATATATATGCGCATCTACTAGTCTTAGTTTTTTGCCCACAGAATAAGATCTCAATTATGATTTAAATGTTAAATAAGGTTACTTTTACTAATACAATTTTGGAAAGACGAATAATTACTTTAATGGCCATTTCAATTGAATTACAGAATAATGTGTAAAAATTTTGTTGACAAATAAGTTTTTTATATGAAACTTGACAAGCATGGGGAATTGCACTGAAAAGTGTGCTTCTCTGTGTGTGATAGAGAGAATGTGATAACGTAACAATCCGGACCATACGAAACGGTTTTATGGTGAGCAAATGGGAGTATAAAAAATGCAAATTTAGAAGACATTCCGAAATAATTTACATTCTAAGCTGATTGGACCGAATTGATGAATAACTATTTTTTAAACGTTTCAGGCTAACCTTAAACAAATTTATTCGAAGGCTAGTATTTGAAACACAAAGTACTATGTTTGAATCCTACTGTAAATACTAAAACTAAAATGCAGGGATATTCTGCTGATGAGTCACAAGTAGGTCAAAATATGCGTCCCAAACTTCTATGCTAGTCACAATCTAAATGATTCTATACAAGTGTTCGCTAGTTGCTGATTTTTCTTTGATTATATCAGCCAGTAATCGCTTGTCTGTAGTCTGATGATCTTCAGCACTGATCTAACAATCTACATAGCTCACCATGTTAGAAGCAATTGTTCATAAATTGTAGAGCTACCGAGTAGAGTTAGTAAAATTTCAGAAAAGTATAAACCGAAGTCAATTACTGACCTACGTATATAAAATTTACTCGGGTACCATAGTTGCAAATTCACTCTTCAACACCTGGGTCCGATGCTGAATGAAGTAGGAAGAGACTGGGAAAAATTCAACTACCACAGATGTTGGCTAAGACCGTTTCCTCTAGTTGGAACCAAATAGAATCATAATACATTTATATCAGTTTTCTGAATCCTTTTATTGGTGTATAGGACTGTAACTGATCAATTTTTTTCGGCAGATATGCATCCTGTATGAGTTGCTGTAATATTATCATGAGGTGATGAGCATTTTAAACACAGACGAATAGAAGCTGGCACATAAACCAAAAGCAACCCATTAATTGCATACCTAAACATCCGTGGGAAAATTAAAACAACAATTGTATATGAATTGAAATTAAAATTCACCTCAATGCACAAAATGGTGGCTGTCTGGGCATAGTGGCTAAATGGATAGTACAATGACTTTTGAAGCAAAAGTTACTGGGTTCTAATTCAAAAATGGACATTAATTCTGGGATGCAGGTACACTCAGCTGATGAGTCAGAAATGCAACAAAAAGCGCATCCCGGATTTTACTACTAGTCACCATCCATCTCTGCTTAAGAAATAGAACCATGTTGGATGAAATGAAACCAGAAGAAATACTATGACTTATCATTAATAAAATATTATGTTCCAGTTACTTATTTCCCTATTAGAGCTTTCAATGTGTGTTATACATCAAAAATAACAAATCAGTCCCTTAAATAATCCGTTTGATCAATAAAGTTTCATTTATCTTAGTATTCTCTCTATCTTAATCCCAACTGATAACAATTTATAGTCTAATCAATTGTGTCATGCGCCTGTATTCAGTCACTTGGTTATAACAGCTATTAGTTACTACCAATACTAATGATTCTAAAGTTTTGCATTTTTATTTAAAACAATGTTATTTTCTTTTTATCTACTCAAGTCTAAGTAACACACAATCAGATGGATTTGATTTGTATGAGTAAAAAAAAAAGTGTTGGGCTGCCCGAAGAATATACTTGTATCTATATACATAAGCCAGTATGTACATATACACAGAACATAATATAAATCTGCTCATCTAATGAACATTTACCTGTTATTGAACAATTGAGCAGATATATATACATATATATATACACACGTTGAATACATTTTTTCGCTTATTTATATGTATATTTAAAGAATGAGTAATTGTTAGTACATTGAAATATATGAGAGATTAATGTAGCAGCATTTATTTATACTTTTGTTTAGTATTCTTAACCATTTAAATTAAAAGAAAAATGTAAGAACAAATAATAATAATAATAACAATAATAGCCTTGCAGAATAAGTTATGAGTCACTCATTATTGACTTTAAGTATTTGACTTGTTTTGTTGTTTGTTTTTTTTAAACTTAAATCATTGTCCTGCCAACTAAGTTTATCCATTTCTGTAGAAACTGCTACATATTCCAGTTCGATCCGAACAAGCTATATATATTCACATGGAAACAAATGTGTTATTATGTTTTTATAGGTACACAACAAGTAATTTATGTTTAATTCACATTTCTAAATGATGTATTCTATTGATACCATTTACGAATCTGTTGAAATCATGAATTGTTTTTTTTTTACAATGTCTATTTCAATGATAAAATGAGATAATTAAACAATTAAAAATGGTGTAGAAATTATGTGTTCTACTGATTGAACTTTATCCTTGGTTTCTAAAAAAATTACAAATTCTCAATTTCGATTTTGATTTTTTTTGTTGGACATTTGTTTAGATCTTTATACAGATCAAAACCTGATTTCATATGTTGAAACATTTTAAAAAAATTGTTAACAGTGTAGTTTTTATCGAATAGAGCCAAATTAGTAATATTGCTATAAGATACGTTTTTAGATTTTCATTACAATTTCAGTACAGTTGAGATGTAAGGCGAACGCCCACTTATAATGCTGTACCAAGATTAATA